ATTGAATTTCTCCAATCATTTGTAACTTTTCCAAAATTCAATTTTTCCCAGTCGTACTTTAATAAAAATCCCTGACCTTTAGCAACCCTGAATTCTTTTTCACTCAAAATACGAAATCATTACATTAGACTAACTTTTGTTATGAAACTGAAGTTACCAATGTTTCTGTTAACGCAAAAAGTGCAAAATTCTTTTTTGAGTCCATAAAAGACTAAATCAAGAATCCAAATTGATACAAAAAATTTGGATCAACTTTTTGGTTGATCCACATTTTTGGTATCAATTCGTTGAAATTTTGATACTTTTAAGTAAACAGTGATTTTGTCGACGTAAATGTTGGTAACTTTAGTTTCACCTTTTGTTCCGATTCTTTCATTTTCTTTGTTAGATTCTTCCTCAAATTCAAATTTGATAAAAAAAAACCTATTTTTAAGGAAAAACTTTATTTAAATCATATCAGTAAAATGGAAATATGTCTTTGATTTAAATCAATAAATAAATCCTAAAACTTTTTTTAAAACGAACGATATTCAATAGAACGTTATTTATTTTCTCCTATTGACCACTGCTCTATATATATATATATATATATATATATATACGTAAAATTTTGAACTCGAGTACAATATATATGCTCATAAGTTTTTCCATGGATACAATATCTTACATTATTCTCAACATTTACATACATAGTTCGCCAATGCGGAATAATCCGGAACTAGAACTGACGTGCAAAGAGTTGGCTCTGGAAAATATAATATATAACCAGGTCGAGAAAGAGAAGCAATACAGTTATACCATAAGCGAAAAGTACCATGTTCGTGGTTTAAGTTCCTTCACACACTTTTTCCCCTTTGTTCAGTCTTTCTAACACTCTACATCAGTTAAATATGTAAATTTTGAATTTAGACTTGGAATTCAACCATACATATACATAAAGAGAAGAAGACAACTTTTCTCAAAAATAAACTTTTTAGAATAAGAATTCTTAGGAAAAAAAATCCACATGAGTTATAAAACTAAATGATAAATATGTTCTCGTAAAAATATATAACATAAAAAGAATATTAAGAAGATAATCGAAAAAAAATTTCTCTTTATGAAAACGAGATATATATTTTAATTTCTAAAATGAAATGATTTTGCTATTTTATTGTTGAACATTTGAGACGAAATTCAATTACTATCAGAAACCGATATTAAAGTTCCTATTGAAAATCACGTTTCGCTTTTATTATTCGATTTACGTCGTCGACCGTCTGCCACGATTGTCAAGATAACTGATCCACAGGGAAGAATTTTAACTGTGTCAATTACCTCTGCTCTTCGTTCAACTATCACGCAACCTGTCTATTTTATTAATTAAAATAAATGTATTCTTTACTTTTTTTCAGATTTTTAGGGTGTGGCTATTATATTCTACTCTCTAAGCTCAAACAAATCAAATCATTATTTTTAATCTCATTTCTCAAAACGTATAATTCAAGTTCGATACGTTAATGCTTTTTTGAAATATTACTCATTTTAATTAATAAATCCTCATTAAATAGACAAATTAATTATTTATAAATACAGATTTTCCTGTATGTTAATGTACCTAAAGTTCAAAACTTTCAAATGAGAGAAATTTATTCATTTCTTCTCTAAATTCAAAATTGCAAAATTCACATATTTCGAAAATAAATTATAAAGATTCTAAATTAATTTCCTAAGTTCCCACTTTTTGCTTTTTTCTTTTGCTTTTTACAACAGGTTAGTAAATTTTGAAAGATATTATACTTGCAAAAATTTCTCTCATTAGAACGTTCAAAACTTGTGAATAATAAATTTTATTATTTCAATAAGTCAAAAGAAAATAATAATATAAAGAAATAAATTAAATTTCAAACAAAATATAAAAAAAAAATAATCTTAAAAACAAAAAAAAAAAAAAACAAACAAAAAAAAATAATAATAATAAAAAATAATCTTATAATAAAATATAAAAAATTTCTCCAATTCTACAGATATTTTCATAATTTTTAAATTAAAACACATATTAATTTTTTTATTTTATTTAATATTCTAATTAAAAAGTATAAAAATTTAATTTTGTAAATTATGAATTTATAAATTAAATTAAAAACCAAGAGAATCGTAATTATTTAAAAAATTTCTCCAATTCCAACTAGGTATTTTCGCAGTATTAAAATATCATTTAAATTATTAAATACTAAAGCGCAATTTATAATTAAAAAGAGTTACTGTAAAAAATAAGAGCCCTTTGATAAAAATACAATTTACAAGTTTAAAAATTTATCTACAAATTCTTTTATAAAATGACGACATAAATGAACAAAAAAATTTTTCGAATTAAATATTTTCAACAATTAACAGCTATAAGAAATAAAAACGAAATTAAATATTTAGAATCTTTATAATTTACTTTCTAAATACGTAACGCGATGGTTTTCTATAAATTTGAATTTTAAGAAAAATAAATAAATTTCATTCTTTTGAACATTTAAAACATTGGACTTGATGAAAAAAAGAAAAAAAAATTTTAATTATGTTACAATTCTTTTTCAATCTCTGCAATTTTTAATTCTATTAAAACCATTGTTGAATACAAACTTGTAATTAAAGATGTGACAAAAAATGTCTACACTTTCCCCGAAGCAATTTTTAATTAAAATTTCTTTTTTTGATTCAAAAATAGAAAAAAAATTCAGTTAAAGTAATTTTTAATTTTATTGTCTCTATCCAATATTCCGCTCCTTAAAATTCAATTTTCTTTGTTTAAATCAAATTTGTCATTACAATTCGTTTTAGAAAATTTAATATAAGAAAATATATTACGTTGATAAAGTTCATACAAAACGTTTATAATCAACAATTTATTTAATTCAGAAAATAGTTTTATATTCAAATTTTTTACTAAAAACTTTTGTTATAATAACAATATTTCTTCATCAAAAATTCCAAAAAGAAAAATTTGTAAGAAAAATCTTATTGGAAAGAAAAACAACTATGTTTACCAATGTTTATTTATAATGAATTTTAATTATAAATTTATTTATAAGAAATATTTATAATTTTTTTATAATAGAACTGTTTAAAAGAAATTTTTAATAGAAAACCTTTATTAAATTAAAAATGTAAAGGTCTGCACTCAACCTCATAGACAACCGATAAGAGTAAGTCAATAGATTTGATTCGAAATTTGATTAATTTTCCAATAGCCTTACGTACCTATACATAAGAGCATATATACCTACATAAAAGATTATTTATTAATTATTCTTAAAATTTTTAATCGAATTACACTCTGGATTTAAAAAAAATATAAAGAAACAATAATTTTTAAGGATTTTCCCTCTAAGAAATTTTTAAATAATAATTTTGCAGAAGAATATTTTAAAAAAGTTCTAAATACTGATTAATTGTATAAATATTCAATTTTATAATTAAAAAATCAAATTTTAATTCATAAAATAATTTTTCGAAAATAAAAATTCTCACGTTGGTAAAGTTCACAACGTTTATAATCAACAATTTAGAAGAAAAATATATTTTTCCATTCAAATTTTATTTAAAAAATAAATTATTATATTTCTTTATCAAAAACTTTAAAATAAAAATTTATAAACAAAAAATATTATAATTCTGTATAAAAAGTATTTTTTCTCCTAATAGCTGATCATAAACGTTGTGAACTTTAGCCACGTAAATTCTCAAGTCAATAATTTGATTTAAAACTCAAAAAATTGAAACGAAAAAAGTTTCGAACATCTAAATGAACGACGATACATTTTCTTACTTCCTTAATTTAATTTGTATTTTTACTTTGCTGAAGTTCACAACGTTTATTATCAACGATTTAGAAAAAAATATATTTTTCTATTCAAATTTTTATATATTTTTGTATAAAAAAATATTTTTCCTAGATTTTTGGTCAATAATTTGAAAAAGAAAAATTTTTAAACAAAACATTGTAATGTTTTTGTAAAGAAAATTTTTTTTTCTTTAAATCGTTAATCTTAAACGTTGTGAAATTCACCAACGTGTATTTTTTTATAAAAATAAATGATTTTGTTTATGTAAAAGATTAACAATTAACTAAGAAACTATTTGATTTTACTTATATTTCATTTTTAAACCTACACTAATTTTGAAAAATTAAAAAAAAATTCGTTTATTTAAATTTTCAAAACTGTAGGAAGATTAAAAATTAATAATTAAAATTGAATTGAAAAATTTCAAAAAAATTGTTAGAATTTATGAGAATTATGAAAATATGAATTTAATTTTCATTACCCTATTGCAGGTCAAGTTAATAATTCAAAAAAGCAAAAAAAAAAAAAAAAAAAACAGGGAAAACCAATTAATATGAAAACAACTATAAACAAGAATGATAAAATTTAATTTAAACTGTTATTCTCCCTCCATTGTTTAAAACAGTTATTACAACAGGCTCGAAAAAGTGAAGCGAGCATGAAAACAAATCACGTCCGACTAAAAGTTGACTTTTATCCCTGAGGAGAACAGGTCGGAAGTGATCGTCCAAAGAAAGTCCAACAACCGGCGTCCTTGCCAATGATCGTCAAATATTTGACAATGGCGTTTGACGCGTCATTTTTATCTCTCAAAAAAAGAAAAACAGACAAAAGGAAAAACAGAAAACAAAGAAAAAACAAAGAATGCAAAGAAAAAATAGAAAAAACAAAGAAAAAATAAAGAAATTTCTTTCTTTCTTTAAACAAAGAAAAAACGAAGAAAACGAAAAAAAAGGGGAAAGGAAGAGAAAAAAGGGGAAACAAAAAGGAAAAAAAATCGAAATAAAAAAAGAAAAAATAGAAAACAAAAAAAGGAAAAATAAAAACAGAAAGAAAGAAGAAAATCAAAACAGAAAAAAATAGAAAGAGACAAAAAATGAGAGAAATTGAAAAGTCTAGTACAACTTAATGTGGTAAAGTTTACCCGGAGGCACATTTGATATATTATATTCTAACCTACTTCACCTTTTTCTCCTCGTGACAATCTCGTGGTTCTCCTCAGCTCTCTGGAATTCCAGTATTTCTTCACTTCCCACGTCGATAACGATTCAGCTTTGATCAATTGTCCACAGAAAAGGTCACTTTTATACACACACGAATGTTCTCAATAATTCACAAATCATCGATTTTCATAAACGGAATAATTAATTTCAACTTTTATTTATATAGATATTGAAAGAAAAAAATAAAAATTAACCGGCCTCTATTGCGCAAAATAAAAATTTTTTTTTCTCCCTTTTATCAATGGCCACGAGACTCTCTAGAATAAATAATAGAAAAGGTTAGGTTCTAAGACAATTCCGTTAATACTGACGATGACGGCACTGGTAGTCACCACACTGGACACTGTACACTGAACGGTAACCGCGGTAACCTCGCACTTCCGCTAACCCTTAACTTTATTCGAAGGTGGCGCCAACAGTCGTTGATTAAATGAACTCTCAGGGAAAAACCTTCCAAATTTTCTCTATCCCACGCAGACTAAACTTAGAAAAAGGAAACATTTTTCGCTTTCGTTTTTTGCTGCGTGTGTGTCTCGATGGATAAATTCGCCGGGAATTGAATACCCGTCAGGAGCATTACATCACTGAGGGGGGAAAAAAAGAAAGCTTAGGGGTGACGGCAAAAACCGGAAGTAGAAACGACGATAACAGCAAGACAAACTAAAGCTCCGCATCCCTTCACTGAGTACATTGTTCCTATTCTCGTAGCAGAATTCCAGGATGTTTTCACTGAAAACAAAATGTCGATTCGTTGGAAAAAAAAAACATTTTCTTAAAATAAAGTTGATAGAAAAATAGTCTATATATTGTTTTTTTGTAAAATGAAAATACTAAATAACGAATTTTGTTTATAAAATAATTTTTAAAAGTGAATAATGTAAAACAAATCCAGATTTAGATTTATTTATTTCTACAAAATCGAGATTCCTTAAGATCATGAAGTTCTGAATGTTCAAATTAACAAAATTTATTTATTTCTTCTACAAATTAAATTTTTATTGCAATTATTTTGCGTCACTATCGAAAAAAATTAATTACTGAGTTTCTAAACGTAAATATTTCAGTTTTAAAATTTTTTTGTGAAGAGTAATTTATAAAAATATTTGACTTTGACTTTTCCCTGATTCTAAATAACTTTATTTTTAAATAAATATTTAATCATTATTATTTTTTCATAGAAATTAAGATTTTCAAAACTTTTAAACTTTTGAAAATCTTTATTCAATAACATATAATATTTATTATTATTACAAAACATGAAGAAAGAGATAACTCCGAGTCTTCGACTCGGAGTTATTGCTTTCTTCATGTTTTATATAATAATTAAAACTTGCTACTTTGTTACTAAAGTTCTTCTATAAGTCAATTGTTTTTTAATAATTTTTTAAAAAGTCGTTTGAGAATTTTCAAATTCTTTTGTTTACAATTTACTTTTACGAAATTTCGATTATTCTGACATTCTTTAATTAAATATATATTAAAAATTAAAAACTTCAAATAATTAAAAAAAATTCAATAAAACTTTTTAAAAAAAATTAATTATACAGAATTCTTAATTAAAAGTATGAAAAGTTCAAATTTTCAAAGATTTTAATTTAAAACCTTTTGAAAATTCAATTATTTCTAAAAATCCACGCTATAATGCTTTCTATATTCAATTATAATCTAAAATTTTAACTGAAATTAATTTTTAAATTAATATTTCTTAGAACATTCTACGAGAATTCAATTATTTAAATACAAAAATAAATATTTTATTAAATAATTAAATGTTTCTTAAAATTGAACTTTCATAAAGAATTTTATCAACAAAATTTTTTTAAGTAATTTAATTCTCCTGACAAATTTTAATTGTAATTGTATTATTTAAGAAAATAATTGAATTGTTTTCAATAACTTTAATAAAAATTTTAGAAAATAAGTAGATAATAAAAATCATTGAATTGAGGAAAATTTTTTTAAATAATTGAAATTTTGCTAAGAATTTTATTAAAATTTTTTAAAATGACTAGTTTTGCTAAGAATTTTATTAAAATTCTTGAAAATAATTGAATTTTAAAAAAAAAATTAATTACTTTTAAAAGTAATTGAATTTTGAAGAGAATTTAAAAAAATGTTTAAATAAAATTGAATTTCTGCGAAGAATTTTATTAAATTTGTAAATAATTGAATTTCTACAATCATTTGCAATTTGAATTGTTAAAATTTTTCAAACATCTAATTGAATTTCTAAAAAGAATTTTCATAAAGAATTTTATCAAGAAATGTTTAAATAATTGAATTCTCTTGCAAAATTTAATAAAATTTTTAAGAACAATTTTATTTTTCGAGAAATTTGATGAAAATTGTATTAAAATTTAAAAATAATTGAAATTCTGACACTATTTTATTAAAATTTTTGAAAATAATTTAATTGAGAAAAATTTTATTAATTATATAAAGATAATTGAAATTTTGACGAGAATTTTTGTAAAATTTTAAACATAATTGGATTTTTGTAAAGAATTATATTACTTTTGAAAATAATTGAATTCTTGAGATGAATTTTATTAAGATTTCTTTTTAAATAATTGAATTCTTTTGTAACATTTTGTTGAAATAATAAACATTGAAAATAATTGAATTTTGACAAATTTTTGAAATTATTTAAATTTCTACAAAGAATTTCATCACATTTTTTTATATAGGGTAAGTGCGGGTATAGTCGGACAGTACTAGTAGTCGGACACTTTCGTGTTTTTTGGCAAATAAATAATAATGCATTGTGATAATTACTTTAAAAAGTATACTAGACGAATGTGTGAAGTTTATATTTTATTAAAATAGTGTTATTTTCGAAAATAATTAAACAATAAATATTTTATTTAATGTTTTAAAAATCATGGTGTCCGACTATAGATACAACCATTTTCGAGTAGCGCGATGAGTGGCACAAAGTTTTGTTGATAATTAATCATAAATATTAAAACGTATAGGGTCTAAATATTATATTAATAACTTCTAATATGCTTTAATTCCATTTTCCAGCAGATAGCAATTAAAAAATTATCTTTTTCACTTTATAAATTCAAAATATCTGACAGATGTCCGACTATAGAAACAAGGGGAAAAAGTGTCCGACTACTCAAGCATTCGTAATTTTTTATTAAAATGTTAATATTTTATTAAATACTCAACTATTTGTAACAAATTTATATGATTTTTAATCCTGAAGAACTCCTTCAATTAATAATGTGCTTATAAACACAGTAGATATTTTCTATTTCAAGAAAAAAAGCATAATTTAAGATTGTATCCTTAAGTGTCCGACTACTAGTGCATTTACCCTATAATTGAATTTCTTCGATAAATTTTAATAAAATTTTTAATAATAATTTCATTTTTCGAGGAATTTCATTAAAATTGTTTTGAAAATAATTGAATTTCTACCAAAAATTTTATTAACATTTTTGAAAATATTGAATTTCGGAGAAAAATTTTACTATTTATAAAGATAATTGAAATTTTGACAAGTATTTTTATAAATTTCTGATCATAATTGAATTCTTGAGACGAATTTTATATTCAAATTTCTTTTTAAATAATTGAATCTTTATGTGGAATTTTATTGAAATAGTAGACATTGAAAATAATTGAATTTTGACAAATTTTTGAAATTATTTAAATTTCTACAAAGAATTTTATTAAAATTATTTTGATAGAAATTGAATTGTTTCAAAGAATTTGATCAAAATTTTTGAAAATAATTTAATTCTTTGAAGAAATTTAATTAAAAATGTATTGAAAATATAGGCAAAGATTTTTAAAGTAATTGAATGTCTTTGATAAGTTTTAATAAAATTTCTAAGAATAACTTCATTTTTCGAGGAATTTCATTAAAATTGTTTTGAAAATAATTGAAAGTCTGCCAAGAGTTTTATTATTTATGAAAATAATGAAATATTTTCGTAGAATTTATTAAAAATTTTTTTAGCTAATTTAATTATTTTAGTAATTTTTATTAAAGTATAGTAGATAATAAAAATCACTGAATTGAGGATAGTTTTTGAAAATAATTAAAATTTTGTCAAGAATTTTATTAAAATTTTCGAAAATAATTGAATTTTAGTTATTAATTTTTTTTTTAAATTTCTAATTAAATCATGAAAATTGTAAACGCAATTCTTTAAAAATTGAATTAATTTTGAAATATTTAAGTAAAATTAGATTTCAAAAATAAACACTGTAACTTTAGAATTCAACAATTTTCCAGGATTTCGATCAAAATTCCCTGGCTTTTTCAGGTTTTTTCAAGGTTTATAAAATTCCCTGACATTTCCAGGTTTCCAGGTTGCCTGGCAACCCTGTAGACGTTCAAAGTATCTCTTTGCTTTACAATAAAATTTTAATTTTGTTAATTATAAATTCGGCAATATATATTGTTATACACTTCATATTAAACAAATAGAAAAGCACTACAATATATATTTATACATTTTGTATATCTCTCGTTATCCATATTTATGGTTCAATTCTGCACTGCGGGAAATGTATACATAAATAAATAAATATTTTTTTCGTTTACGCCTTTTTATAAGCAATGCTTTTGAAATGTTATTAACAGAATGAATTATTTTCATTATTTACGATATTTATCTTTACGGTCAATTACAATTAATCAAGTCACTAAACTGCATAATGAGGTATATATTGCAAGCTTTGGAAAGTGACCAGCCCATAAGTAAATATTTACGGCCGTTTTCCGTGTGAATTTTAAGTTTATATATGTATTTGTGAATTAACATTCTCAAAGTGTAGGTGTGTGGGTGAAATATTTATATATACGCCTTCCTCCTACTGGAGCATTGATCTAAAAGACGAGCGCTTGCGCCAACAAATATGTACGAGAGCCGGTCAACTTTGCTTTTCCCTTAAAACATTATAGAGCATCAGAGCATCAGAGCTATTATTTTTGGTCATCGAGTATTTTCGACGATCTGACGAACGAAAGTGAGTTTGTACTAAAGTGGCCAATTAGAAGCAGAGGGGAAAAGGAACAAAAAGTGCGAGTAACTAGAAACAGGGTCGATGTTTCTATTGATAAGAAAAGGCTAGACGAAAACGAGAGGTGTCTATTCTTGGAAGATCTCTCCTTCTGAGATCATCCGAAAAGCATTTTACCTTGTTTTAACCTAGTATGGATCAAGTTAATGAGGACAATGGCTCGCCGTCAATGTCCAAGGCAGAGGATAATTTATCAAACAGCGAAGGACCTTTACTTAAAAAACGAGAAGTATTCAAAGACGTAAATACTACAAGGTAAAAATATTTCTCTCCTTTTCATTTTATTTTAAATAAAAAATTTTTCCAATTTAAATAAAATATAAGTAAAAGAAAACTTGTTATTAAATTTATTTTTAAAATTTTCTACCTTTATTCAATATTCTATTAAAACAGTTTTCTGACTAAATTTCATTTATTCAAGGGATGTATTTTTATCCTCGTCAAATCGAAGTGAACGCTGGCGACAACATTCGTATGAAATGAAAAATTACCACGAAGATGAGGGCAAAGGAGATAATCATTGTTTATGGATGTTTACTTTAATTTTAGGAATCATTGGATTTTGTAATCTACTTTTAAGTACTACAATAATATTTGTACTCCGCGTTAGCCAAGGAATGGAGGCCCTAGAAGTCATACCCGATGAAAATATTGTCAAATTTTATGGAAATACGGATTTGGATCGAGTAAGTTTCTAATAATCACTTCCTAATCATTACTTTGCTTTGTTATCACTTTCTAATTATTATTTTTTGAATAAAAAAGTTTTCTTAATTTGATATTTTGTTCTTCATTTTTTTGTTTCGTTTATACTACTACATATTAATACTATATACCATTATTCTATTAATATTAATAAGATTACTAATATTTATTATTTACTTGAACCATAAAACAATATTTCACAAAAAAAATACTAACATAATTTTAAAAGTAATGAGTAAAATTAAAAATCTTTACTATTTTATAAAAAAAATAATAATCGAAGAATAACAGGGTTGCAACAAAGATTTTTTTTATTTTAACCCTGGCTTTTCCCTCATTTCCAGACAAAATTTTGACTTATTCCCTGACCTTAAAGAATGTTGTAGCTCTAACTTCTTCAAAATTATTTTATCATTACAATTGAATTATTATTATTTTCAAAAATTTTTAAATAAAATTTTTCTTCAAATCAATTATTTATAATAATTTTTGAAAAAGTTCATTCACAATTTTCAAATCCATTTGTTTACAATTCAATTTTACAATATTTCAATTATTTGTAAATTCTTCAATTAAATATAAATTAGAAAATAAAAACTTCAAATAGTAAAAAAAAATCCGGAATTAAACTTTCTCAAAAAAAAAACTAATTCCACAGAATTGTCAGTTAAAAATATGAAAAATTCAAATTTTTAAAGATTTTAATCTAAATCCTTTTCAAAATTCAATTATTTCTAAAAATGTACGCTCTGATGCTTTTAATATTCAATTATAATTAAAAATTTTAACTAAAATCAATTTTTAAATCAATTTTCATGAGAAAATTCTACTAGAATTCAATTATTTAAATAGAAAAAAGCAATTTATTTAATAATTGCATGTTTCTTAAAATTTAATTCTCATTAAGAATTTTATTGATAAATTTTTAAATAATTGAATTCTATTGACGAATTTTAATAAAATTTGTTAGTTTAATGTTTGAAAAATTCATATTTTCAAAGATTCTTATATTCAGAATTTTTCAAAATTCAATTATTTATAAAAATGCATACTATAATACTTTTAATATTCAATTATCTAAAATTTTAACTGAAATTAATTTTTAAATCAATTTTTATTAGAAAATATTTTACGAGAATTCAATTATTTAAATATACAAAAATAAATAATTTATTGAATAATTAAATGTTTCTCAAAATTGAATTCTTATAACGGATTTTATAAACAATTTTTTAAATAATTGAATTCTTTTCAAAAATTTTAATAAAATTTTTAAGAATAATTACATTTTTCGAGGAATTCCATTAAAATTGTATTGTAATTGTGTTATTTAAAAAAATAATTGAATTATTTAAAAGAACTTTAATAAAATTCTGGAAAATAAGTAGATAATAAAAATCATTGAATTGAGGAATATTTTTTTAAATAATTGAAATTTTGCTAAGAATTTTATTAAAATTCTTGAAAATAATTGAATTTTAGAAAAGAATTTCATTATACTTTAAATAGTAAGAAAGTAATTGAAATTTTGAAGAGAATTTAAAAAAATGTTTAAATAAAATTGAATTTCTGCGAAGAATTTTATTAAATTTGTATAAATAATTGAATTTCTACAATCATTTTTAATTTGAATTATTAAAATTTTTCAGACATTTTCTAAAAAGAATTTCCATAAAGAATTTTATCAACAAATGTTTAAATAATTTAATTTTTTAAACGAATTTTAATAAAATTTTTAAGAATAATTAAATTTTTTGAAGAGTTTAATGAAAATTGTATTAAAAATATTGAAATTCTACGATAAGTTTTATTATTTATTAAAATAATTGAATTCCTGTAAAAAATTTAATTATTTATGAAAAGAATTGAATTATTGCCAAGAAATTAAAAACAAATTTATAAATATAATATGATTTTCTGTTAAATTTTTATTATTTATGAAAATAATTAAATATTTGCCGAGAATTTAATCAAAATTTTTTTAAATAATTACATTCTTTGGGAAACTTTATTAAAATAGTAAATATTAAAAATCATTGAATTGAGAGAAATTTTTGAAAATATATTTGAAATTTTCTTAAGAATTTTATTAAAATTCTTGAAAATAATAATAAATATTTCGGAGAAGAATTTTATTACTTATAAAAATAGTTCAAATTTTGACGAGAATTTTTAAAAATTTTTGAACGTAATTAAATTTTTGAGAAGAATTTTATTATTTTTGAAAATAATTGAATTTCTGCAATCATTTTTAACTTCTCCAAAATTCAATTTTTTTTAGTGTTTTTAACTAAAATATTTTTAATAATTTATTGAGTATATAATAAAAATATTTTATTAATATCAGAAGAATTTGAACTATTCAAATTTTTCAAAAATCTAAATTCATATAGAAATGTTCAATTAAGTTCATAGAAAAATTAAATTTTAAAAAATTCCAAATTAAAGCTTTTGGCAGTTTATCTATTTATGAGAACTGTAAACGCAACTCTTTTAAAATTCAATTAATTTTGAAATATTTATTAAAAAAATAAATTAAATTAAAAATCTTTACTATTTTAAGGAAATAATCATTAAAATTAATTATTATTTTATTAATAAACAACAGTAATTATTATAAAAAAGGTTAAGTAAAACAAATAAAATTTTACTGTAATAATATTGCTCACAATAAATGGAAATAAATAATTAAAGTGAAAATTTTTAAGATAAAATGAAAATAAAGAAGAAATTATTTATTTATGGAAAGATAAAAATATTTTTAAAATTTGTAAAATTAAACATCTTTACTATTTTAAAGAAATAAAATAATCACCAAAAAATAATAATTGTAATATTAATAACAAAACTAATAATGATATGAAAAGATTAAATATACACCAACAACTACAATTTTAATATAGAAATTTTGCCCACAATAATTGAAAATAAATATAATAATTAAAGTGAGAATTTATAATTAAAATGAAAATAAAGAGAATTACCTATTCACTTATAAAAAATAACTTGAAAACAGGCGCGGATCCACGGTGGGGCGAAAGGGGCGATCGCCCCCCCCCCAAACACACTTACTCACAGTGTAATGTTAGGTATTAATATATCTATGCCTTCATTACTATAAGGTTTTAATTTACGAATTGCCCCCCCCCCCCAAATTTGCTTCTGAATCCGCGCCTGCTTGAAAAAAGTATTTTAAAGACAACAAAAATGTTGCCAAAGTTGATTTCGTTGAACTTACCGTAGGTATTTTTAAAAAGTGACTTTATTCATTCAGTTATATTTTATTCATCATTTCATTCATATTTATCCTTTTGGAAAAATTCTAATATATAATGAAAAAAACTCGAGTAATTGTAGAAACCCTAAGTAACAACTCACTTTAGAAAATAAACCCGTATTTTATTTGTATTTAATTTAATATTTTATATAATTATTTATTTGTATTTAAATTAGTTTAAAAATATAGGAAAACGAAAGTAACGGTCGGTAACTAACGTAAAGACTTTAAAAATTTCGACGTTTATCGAACAATCGATTAATCGATAATGGCGCCACCCTCGATTTAAGCGCGAAAACTTCATACTTCATACCTAACCTCACTTTTTCACCGCGACATTTTTTTCACAATTTTTACTAAAATCCGCGAAATATTCATCATATTTTATTAGCTGTAAGATAATAATGCTTGAAAAACACGAAAAACTTGATAAATTATGAACAAATATCGTAATTTTGTTAAATTTTTTGGGAGCGACCGGCGTACATGTTCACACTACGACTGTTCAAACAATACTAACATCCCCTATGAAATAATCAAATGAGTGTAGTTATTAACAACTAATTTAGTTATTTTATACAATAATATGCCTTTAATTTATACCGACAACACAAAATTAAATGTATTGTACACAAATATAGAGTTTTATTTAATAGACAATGATTTTTCTGGATAAAAATAGATATTATTTGTGTGAAAATGGTTTTGACTTTGACTAGCGTAGTACTACTGTTTTAATAAATATTATTTTAATAATTTAATAATATTTTCCCTTTATTATTTCGTGCACTAAATAAATATATTATTTCGAATAAACTTTTATTTTCATTTCCTTTAAATTAATGCGAACTATAAGAAATATTACTCCAAATTAAAAAGTACAAAAGTTGAGGTTAGGTTGACTCGAGAAAAACTTAAATTAAACAATTAATTAACAATTTTAGTCATATATTGATAATAAATATTCTCCTTGTAATGAAATAAGCATTAATTCAAGAATATTTTTTTATCTAAATCATCATTTTAAATGAACAATATATGAAGATTGATAGAATTTTCCCTATAATTTTATTTATAATTAAAATTTGTTTTCCGACGTTGTTTTTAATTGGAGAACAAATTTAATTAATGACTATTAAAATGTGCTCGGCGTAAATAAATTCGAACAATTATAAATTACAAATTTACTGTTATATTTTATTGTATTGCCGAATAATTTAGTTGTATAATTAAATTCAGATTTTCAGGAGTTCGTTATTAATTTGTAACTTTTAATTAATATACTTTATTAACGATTTTGAATTATGAATTTACGATGGTTATATATATGTATTTCGAACAGTTTCTGTTTTAATTAAAATATAATAATTTTTTATTTCACTTTATGTAAATTTGAATTCCAATGCAAATTTGTAACTGGATTGTTACAAATTTTCAATAAATATATAGTAGAAAATAAAATCTTAAAATAATTTTAAATAATTTCGAATAAGCTTTTTGAAAAAAAATTAGTTCCATAGAATTTTTAATAAAAAGTATGAAACATTCGTATTCGAATTGAATTATTTAAACGCAAATATAGATAATTTATTGAATAATTTTATATTTCATAAAATAGATTTCCTATACATAATTTTATCAACAAATTTTTAAATAATTGAATTATTTCCAAGAATTTTAATAAAATTTTTAAAAATATTTAATTACATTTTTCGAGGAATTCAATTAAAATTGTATTAAAAATAATTGACATTCTGCAATGAGTTTTATTATTTATGAAAATAATTAGGTATTGAATTATTGCGAAGAATATAAAAAAGTTTCAAACAATTGATTTTTTTCGAGAAAATTTATGCAAATTCTATTTTTACCTATTAATTGAATTCCGGTGAAATTTTCCTAAGGTATTTTAGAAAATAATTGAATATTCGTGTAGAATTTTGTCAAAATTGTTTTTAAATAATTGAATTCTTTGGGAAAATTTTTTGAAAATAATTTAAATTTTGACATGAATTTTAATTATTAAAATTTTTGAAAATAATTGAATTTTATTAATTTTGAAAATAATTAAATTCTTGTGATGAATTTATTGTTATTTATAAAAATAATTGACTTCCTCCGAATGATTTTATTATTTATGAAAATAATTAAACCTCTGAATGGAAATTTAAAATTTATGTAAATAATTCAATTACTGCGAAGATTTTAATGCCCAATTTTAAAACATTTGATTTTTTTCAATTTTCATGTAAAGTTTTATAAAATTTTTTTTTAATAATTGAATTCTTGTGGAAAATTTTATTAAAATAGTAAAATATTGAAAATCATTGAATTAAGAAAAATTTTTAAAAATAATTGAAATTTTTTGAAAATATTTGAATTCTTGTGATGAATTTATGAAAATTGATTGATTGATGAAAAATTATTGATTTATGAAAATAATTGAATTTTGCAATGAATTTTATTAAAATTAATGAAAATAATTGAAATTTTTACAAGAATTTTTCAAAAGTTTTGAACCTAATGGAATTTCCGTGAAAAATTTTTCTAAATTTGTAAATAATTGAATTTTTGCAAAGAATTATATTAATTTTGAAAATAATTGAATTCTTGTAATGAATATTGTTATTTATGAAAATAATTGAATTTTACGATGAATTTTATTAAAATTCCTGAAAATAATTAAATTTTGGCAAAGAATTTTGATATTTATAAAAATAATTGAAATGTTGACTAGAATTTTTTTTCAAATTTTTGAAAATAATTGAATTTTTGGAAAGAATTTTAATATTTATTAAGATAATTGAATTTTTTCAAAGAATTGCGTTAAAATTTGCGAAAGTGAAACTAATTTCAACAGAATTGAAATTAAAGATTTAAAAAAAAAATGCTTCATTAAATGATTTATAAATAATAAATTTATAGCTGTTCTTCAAGGATTAAATTATTTAAAATAAATTATTGCTAGTAATAGAAAAAATTGAAAGATTTTTTAAAATTCGTGGTAATTTCATATTTTACGAGGCAAATAAAAAAAACACAAAAATTCATCATTTTCGTATAAATTCTAAACAATTAATTTTTTCCAGTACTTTTAATAAAAATCCCTGACTTTTCCCTAACCAATTCTAATTTTAATGACTTTTCCCTGAATTCCCTGAGCTGTGGCAACCCTGTTATAAATATTATTATTTTGAATTTAATCAATTGTTTATATTTATCAAATAATTTAATTTTGGAATATTTTCAGGTTTGTCTAGAACGCGGAATTTGCGAAGGCTACGGAGATGAGCCAATCGAATTGTCTGGTGATAATGCCGGCGTCATTATTGACGTGACGAGTCGTATTCGAGGAAAACTACTTTCCAATATGCAAATTCTTCCAAACGCTACCTCAGTGTCACGAGTGCAATCTTTCGACATAAAAGATCCAATTACTGGAAATTCTTATTTTTCGACAAATTTCCCAAATTTTGGTCTTCCCGATGGAGTTGTACGTATCGACGTTAAAGTCGCAGAAACCCGAAGAATAGTCGCACCGATGAATGAAAGTCTCCGAATAAAATCATCACAACAAATAACACTTAACGGCGCAGAAGGTGCAACAATTGACAGCAAAAATATTATCTGGACCGCCAACAATGATATATTTTTTGAAAGTAAAAATGGCGATATTATCCTCGACTCGAAACAAGGTCTCTTTCTTGACGTCAAAAACATTCCAATTGTTCCAATTTATCTGCCAAATCGCGGCGATATCAATGGTCAATATAAAGTCTGCATTTGCATGCCACAAGGCAAATTATTTCGCGTCCCGGTGAAATCAGGAGGTAGTGCACGTGTCAATTGCGCCAAAGTTTCCATTAGTCCAGCAATTGATCCCTGTCAATAATAAAAATAATGGAAAAAATATTCTTTTTTAAATGCCGCTTTTGTACCATTTTTTTAAATACATTTATTGAAAATTGCGAACTGCTGAAAAAGCTACACATTCTATATGAAAAACACTTTGCAATACTCAGACGATTCACTGAAATCTATTACTTCTCATGGTTAAATTAAACTAGAATAGTAATTTACATATCAATCACACAACTGTCAATTTAAGTTTGTCAATGAATTTCAATTTATAATAAAGATTTATGACAACATAATCATTCACTCATTTAATTAAAAAACAGGAAAAAAAATAGAAAAAAAAGTGACAAAATGAACTTGAAATTCTGAACATTTTATTATGAGTAAAATTGAAAATTTTATTTCTCAAATTCAGAAATTCAAGGAACATTGCATGGTTATGTGAATAAAATTGTCTTATCCAGTGATCATTTCCTCATTGGCCTCCTCCATATCCTCTTGCTGTTCCTGTTCGGTTGGTGGTTCGTAGGCTTTCTCGAGAGGACTCGCCACAACGCCACCGGCCCAAACACTCATCTCGACGGCTAATTTATTTGTTCCTTCAAGTAATGGTCGATAGCCACCGTGAGCAAGAACACGAAGAAGAGTTTGAGCTGTCAAACAAACGAGATCCTGTTGCTCGAGGGACAATGCCGTGTGAACTCGAATGTTTCCTCCCTCACAGGGATCAGAAATTCCTGCGAAAAATATCGATAGTTTACATTTATTATCAAAACGCTTAAAAATTGATTCAATTACATTTTCGTGAATTTCAATAAATTCAATAAATTCTAATACAAAACCTTCAATTTCTTCTATTTATGACAAAAATTTCATTTAAATAACTTCATTCTTCAAGAACTATCATTAAATTATTACTTAAAAATTATTTAATGGATAATAATTTTACTTAAAATATTTCAAAACTATAGTTGAATTTTAAGAGTTGCGTTTACAATTTTCATAAATAAATCAACTTCAAAAAGTTTCAATTTGAACTTTTAGAAAATTTCAATTTTGAATGAATTTAATTAGAAAGAACTTAGATTTTTGAAAAATTTTAATAATTCAAATTCTTCTGATATTAGTTAAATTTTTTTAATACTTATATAATTAATTAATTATTAAAAATAATAGATTTATAGAAGAATTTTAGTTAAAAACACTAAAAAAATTGAATTTCTTAAAAGTTACAAATAATTGCAGAAATTCAATTATTTTCAAAAATAATAAAATTCTTCTCTAAAATTCAAATATTTTCAAAAATTTTAATATATTTCTTGTCGAAATTTCAATTATTTTGAAAAATTTTCCTCAATTCAATGATTTTCAGTATCTACTATTTTAATGAAATTTTCCAAAAGAATTCAATTATTTAAAAAATGTTTTGATAAAATTTTTAAGAAAACATTTAATTATTTTCATAATTAATAAAAATTTCACATGAATTCAATTATTTATAAAATTCGATCATTTCAAATGATGTTCCATAATTAATTATTTGATAATTTCGATTATTATTTTCAAAAAATTTCCTCAATTGAATGATTTTTAATATTTTAGTTAAAAACATTTAAAAAATTGAATTTATGAAAAGTTACAAATGATTTTTGAAATTCAATTATTTACAAATTTAATAAAATTCTTTGCAGAAATTCAATTTTGTACAAAATTTTTTTAAATTGTCTTCAAAATTTTAATTATTTTCAAAAATAATAAAATTTTTCTCTTAAATTCAATTATTTTTAAGAATTTTAATAAAATTCTTTGCAAAATTTCATATATTTTTAAAAATTTTACTCAATTCAATGATTTTCAATATCTATTTATTTTCTAGAATTTTATTAAAGTTTTTCAAAACAATTCAATTATTTTCTTAAATAATACAATCACAATACAATTTTAATCAAGTTCCACGAAAAATGTAAATATTCTTAAAAATTTTATTAAATTTCGTTGAAAAAATTCAACTATTTAAAAATTTGTTGAAATAATTTTTTATGAAAATTCAATTTTGAGAAACATTTAATTATTCAATAAATTATTTATTTTTGTATGTATATTTAAGTCATCAAATTAAATTCTTGTAGAATTTTTTAATAAAAATTGATTCAAAAATGAATTTATGTTATAAATTTACATAATAATTGAGTATTTAAAGCATTATAAGATGAATTTTTAGAAATAATTGAATTTTGAAAAGATCTCAAAATAAGAATCTTTGAAAACCTGAATTTTTCATACTTTTATTTTTTATTTTATTTACAAGTAATGTAACAATAGGCCTGTAAACTTCTCTACATGAGTGTTTCAATTTTTCATACGTTTAACTAACAATTATGTAGAATTAATTTTTTTTTTAAAGTTTAGTTGAATGTTTTTTAAATGATTTGAAGTTTTTATTTTCTAATAAAACTGAAGAATATCCGAATAATCAAAATTTCGTAAAATTGAATTGTAAACAAATAGATTTAAAAATTCTCATAGAACTTTACAAAAATTATTAAAAATATTTGATTTGAAGAAGAATTTTAGTTCAAAATTCTTGAAAATAATAATTGAATTGAAATGATGAGAATAATTTTGAAGAAGTTAAAGCAACAACATTCTTTAAGGTCAGGGAATAAAGTCAAAATTGTGTCTGGAAATCAGGGAAAAATAAAAAAAACTTTGTTGCAACTCTGTTATTCTTCGACGATTATTTTTTTAACAGTACAGATTTTTAATTTTACTTATTATTTTTAAAGTTATATTAGAATTTTATCACTCGATCATCTTTAATTATTATAAGTTGTTGAATTTTAAAAAGGTTTCAATTTGAAATTTTTTTAAAATCTTAATTCCTAAGTAAAAAAATAATTATAATTAAATATTTGCTTAATAAAAAGTTATTAACGTTTTAGAATAATTTTCGAATTAAAGATATTCGTAAATTCGTAAAGTAATAGAACTTTTTTTTAAGTATCAAATAATTTTTAGAATGAATCAGAATATTCTTTAGAGTGAGTGAAAAAATCAAAATTTGATCTGGAAATCAGGGAAAAACAGAATTAAATTTTCATAGAATCCCTGTAATAATTGAAAAAATAAAGACAAAAATAATGAATAAAAAAACAAATAAATTTTCTTACCTGCGGAACCTGGCAAAAAGAGGCCAGATGCAAGGAGTTGAAGAACCCGACGATAAGCCTGATTAATTGGCAATGCTTGTCTGCTTGGATTATTCATGATAGCATTATGGGCTAATAAATTCAACATCCACGGTGAAAGAGGTTCTAAACCTTCGAATCGAGATCGCAAATCTCTCAGCAAACGAATTAAAACTTTAATGCTTGAATGATGAGCATTTTCCTCGAACCAACGAGAATGCCTGATAGCTGCCAAATGACCTAATAAAAAGAAAATCTAATTAGAATAATTCTAATATAAAGAAATAAAATATTAATAAAAATAATCATATTTACCTTGGCAAATTTTAATATCAAGATGCTGATCAGACTCTAATTTTCTCAAGTTTTGGTGAAGAGTTGTAATTAGCACTCGAACAGTTGCTTCGTTTGTTGCAATATCAAAACCCCTTTCGGTTTGGGTTAGTCGGAAATTTTCCTTGGGATTTCCAGTTTTAAGATCGACCTGAACTTTAGTTCCAAGAGCTTCGACTGCTGTTTTTGTTGGCAGAGTTTTTAAAATAACAACAATATCGGCGATATTGTGTCCTTTAATCATTGTTCCCATTTTGAAACTTCCGACTTGTCGCACTTCCTCTAATTGCTGAAATAATATAAATATCCTTTGAATTCAAACTTTCGGAACAGGAAAATTGACTAAATTTCAGGGTGGACACTTTTTTCATAAAAAAGAATTCACGGCCATTTCTCGGTCATGAATTTCAAAAAACTAACTTATTCAGAATTTTTAATTAAAATTTTTAACAATTTTCAACTTTTCTAAAACTTTAATTTGAAACTTTTTGAAATTAAATCTATATTGATATTAGTAATAATAATTTAACATTATAAAATATAGAAATAGTTACTTATAAATTACTGTAAAAAAACGAATTGATATTAATGAAAAATACGTTTCTTTTTAGAAAATTTATTTTCTGAGAAAAAATAATTTTATTTATTTTTATTTACTCTATTTATTATTTAAAAATTAATTTTGAGAAAATTCGTATCACTTTTGTTCTAATTAGTTCAAATTTTTACTCATTCAAATTTGTTTTGTAATAATATTATTGCAAAAAAATTCATAAATTGATTTATTTTTCACTATTTTAAGGGATGTGAAAAATTTTTTTTCTTTCAAATTTTTTCAACGAATTTAATTAAAATTGTATTTTGTTCAATTACAGGCATCACAGTACCTTTTTCCTCAAAAAAGGTGAAAAGGGGAATTTTTTCTTTTTCACTCTAGTCAATTATTTATATTAATTTTTAAAAAAATTCTGAGAATTTTCAAAACTGTATTTGTTTACAATTACTTCGAGTAATTTCAATTGGACTTTTTGAAAAAAAAAATAATTCTACAGAATTGTTAGTTAAAAATATCAAAAGTTCAATTATTTCTAAAAATTTAAGTTCTTTAAAATTTTTAATAAAATTCATTAAAAATTGAAATTTTTAAAAATTTGAAATTAAATCTTTATTTATGAAAATAATTGTAAACGCAACTCTTTTAAAATTCAATTAATTTTGAGATATTTAAGTACAATATTACTCATTAAATAATTTCTAAGTAATAATTTTATGATAGTTCTTCAAGAATTAAGTTATTTAAAAAGAAATTATTATAAGAAATGGAAAAAATCGAAGGTTTTGTATTAGAATTTTTGTTTTTCTAGAAAAAAAAAACTATTCAATAATAATATTTTAATTATTTGAATATTAATTAATTATCTTTGATTAGAAAAAGGTGAAAAAGGGGACAAATCACAAAAAAAAAGAGGAAAAAGGTATCAAATTGTCAAAAAAGGTAAAAAAAGGTGATAAAATTGAATTTTTTCTTAAATCTATTAAGTTGGACAAAAAAATTCATAATTTTCTTATAAATTCTAGAAATTGAATATTCTTCCGATACTTTTGATAAAATTCCCTGACAAAATAAAACGATTTTATAGAAGATCGTTCAATCTTTTTTAATGAAATATAATTAATAAGTCTTAAAATAAATATTTATATTTTTTCTTACGAAATAATCAGTGTTTTTAACAAAAAATTTCAAAACTCCCTGTCAATTCGCAAAATGCAGAAAAATAGAAACAAAAATATAGAAAAATGGAAACAAAAATACAGCGAAAGGGAAACAGAAATCCAGAGAAAAGAAAAATACAAAAAAGGAATTAAAATTAAAATACATACACAAGCTTCAAAATTGCCAGGTGCAACAATCAAGTTATCTAAAACGCTCTGCAACTTGGTGACGAGATTTAAAATCGATGTCTGCTCTTTTTGCGTAGGGCTCATATCGGTCGATTTTTTAAGAAGAGCCGAGGTAAAATCGGCTTCATCTGGAGCAGGTTTGACACGATTAAATGCCGCTTCACAAAGAGTAAGATCAAATGGATGACGGGGTAAAAATTGTTTCCTTGGGAAACCCATTCCACGACCCATTCCTCCTCGTCCACCTCTTATCATTCCACCACGTCCGCCTCTTACCATTTTGACTGAAAATATAAATAATAAATTATAAAATTCATTTCCCTCCCCTATTCCAACATAACCCTATTAATAATTATAATAAAATTAATAAACCAGCTATTATAATTCGACAAATTCATCTATTTTATCAAAAGAGAGCATCAATTATCAAAAAAAGAAATATTTTCACAGCGATTTATTTTTACATATTATAGGCAACGCCAAAGGACGCGTCAATGAAGTAATTCTAACCAAACATTTTTATTATCGGCATTATTAGACATTTATTTACGTCACTGAGAATCTTTAAATTTTACAAATAGATACAAATAAAATTAAATATTTCAAAATACTTACTGAAAATCTAGTTTTTTTAATATATAATAATAAAATCAATACTGTAAATATCAAAATTCACTCACACCGGTCAAAAAACTTGGATGTCACAGTCACAGTCACACACACTGACACAATTCAGCCGTACACCGACAAGACCGGAAACTACGTTAATCAATAATGATTTCACTCATTTCACTTATAACTGACTTAACTTAATAATAACAACAATAATACTTTAAAACTCGAATCATATTTTAAAAAGCTAGTATTCTATTTCTATTTGTTTATCGTTAAACAAAAGGATATTTACATTCATTGTTGTAGACAAAAATTATAAACAATTAAACGCGGGAAATTTAAATATCACTTTTGTTCTATAGTAAAAATTTAGCATACTGTAAATATTTTCAAGTTAAATATTAAACGAACCGAACAAAAATGATTTATTTGAAATTAAAATTACTATTATGGTTTGTTTTTTATTTATAATCGAAAATGTAAATAATATTGAAAAAAAAAATTCAAGCGACTATTGTCCCTCTGTTGGTAAGATTTCTAATTTGTAATATACAATAAGCAAAATATAAACATTGGTTGAAATATAAAAAAAATTGTATAAATTATAGTGAGGATTTTATTTATTTCTATTATTTTGTAAATTAGGGAAAGTTTACACTTTCTCAAGTTTCTAAAAACTTTTTTTTAATAGTTTTCTTGGAGAAATTTAAACCGAATAGCAAAAATAAAAAATCCTAACCTCTAAATTAAAAAAAATTTTTTCCTTATAAATTTAGTTTTTCTCGTTTTTCTGAAAAAAATAATATATAAATATGTTTTTGTGGAGAATTTGAAAGGAGAGTAAAAAAAAGTACAAATAGACGAAAAATAATATAGAAATGACGAGAAAGTGTGCAATTTGCAAAGAGACGAATTATAGAAATGGAAGCAGTTTTTTCTCTGCTCCAAAAGATCCACAAACACGTCAATTATGGCAAGAAGCTATTGGAATTGAAAATTATGTTGTCAAAGATGAAACTTACGTTTGTAGTAAACATTTTTATCCAACGGATATTATTACACATTGGTTCAGTGGAGTTCCACCGAATGTTATCACTGTGAGTTTTTATAAATACTCTTTTTCTTTTATTGAAAAATTTTCACTTATTTTATTTCAGTTAATTTAATTTATTTTCTTCTATTTAGATAAAATATAAAAAATTTCGCTTAAGACCTGGAGCAATACCTAAACTTCATGTTGATCCAGATGAAGTAGATCCACAATTTATAGAATGCGAGGATGAATTTGATATTAATAGAAGTTTATCACCAGACTTAAATAATTTATCGTCTTCTGTTAGTAAATCTTATGAAGTTTATTCGATACCCAGGGAAGATGATAGTGAAAATATAGTCGAAGATGTACAATTTGATGATCAAGATTCTCAAGAATCTTTTGAATTTATTAACGATGAGTCCGAAACACATGAGAATGTGAATATTCAATCAAATTATAATTCTGATGAAGGTATATAACTATTTACTACTTTTTTTTTAATTTTCTGCAATTTGGATACTTTTTTTAAAATTTGTTTGAATTTAAAATTTTTGAAAATCGATAGGAAAAATAATAATTAAATAAATATTTAAAAATAAAGTTATTGATATTTTTTGATTAATTTTCCAATTAAAGGAATTCGCAAATAAATGTAATAGAACATATTTTGAGTATCTAATCATTTTCTAGATTTAGGGAAAAAGACAAAAAATTTATCTAAAAATCAGGGAAAAACAAAATTAAATTTTTTATAGCAACCTTGAATTATTGAGTACAAAGCCTTTATATTATTTTAGTGTAATTTTCCTCTGCAGTGAAACTAAAAATAAATATTATTTAAATTTTCATTTTACAGATGATCTTACAGAAACATTGCAGAATCAAAATTCGAAATCTCCACTTCTTCCTGATGGTGATAATCAATTAAATTTAACACCCGAAGACAATGAAATATGTCTTAATGATGAAAAAAGTTTTTTGGAGGACAATAACGTGAATTATACTTCAGCGAATACAAGTAGTGAATTTATGCTTTTTGAAGATCTATTGGAAGTTTATACAGAAGTGAATTTACCAAAAGGATGGAATTCGTTTGTGATTTCAAAGCCCAAAGGTCATGGGACAACTATTGTTTATTGTTTCATGAAAATGAATGAAAGTGGAATGCCCATTACTGAAAAACAAGTATTCATCAAAAACAACATGCAAATGCGTTGTACCGTAAGAGAGAAAAATATCGAGACAGTTGCACATAATTTGATAAAAGACAACAGTAATTCAATTGTTAAAACATTGGTCGATGTTGAGGAATTAATTGAAGAATTCGACAAACGTAGTGTTTGTGAAGGTATGTAGTTGATTAATATTCGAAATAAAGGAAAAATTTACTTTAGAAAAAGAAAGATTTTGAAAGAAAAAAATTATTTTTACAGGTTATCCGATAACAGATTTAAAATGCGAGGAGGCTTATCGAGATGGAACAAATTGGCGTCACAATTCATGCACGTTAATTGTTAACAGTGGAACGTTACGGTGCTCGAAATGTGCAACTTTAGGAAAACGGAAATTTGCATTTGCACACACAACATATTCAGTGGGGAAATCGAAATTAATCGAAAAGGAGAAACGTGTAAAAATGCTCAGCGAACAGCTTGAGGAGAAAATACGATCGTCAAAATGTGAAGAACGTCTATCAACATTACCATTGAAAACAGTGGATTTAATGACGCAATTAGTTGATAATATGAGTCTACCCGAAATACAAAAAGTAATGATTAAAGAATGCTTTAAACTCGAAAGCAGTGGCGAGGATAAGGTTATTAAATTTTCAAGAACCTGGATTTTTCTCTGTTTACTTTTATACATAGAATCACCGGAAATGTACAAGTATATGCTCCTCAATAAATACATGAATCTTCCGCCATTATTCACCATCAGGGCGTATTTACGACGAGTGAAAACGGATCGTGAATTTTACAATATATTCCAACAGAGCGTCGAAGGATTTCAACCGTTTAACGAGGAAATGAAGACCGAACAGTCAGAATAATTTCTTACTTTTTTTTCTATAATTTACCCCTTTTTTTCGTCTTTTTTTTAAGTTTATTTTTTTAATAAATCATTTTGTTTAGTATTTTTTCAGTGATCGTTTTTTGTAGTAATATTTACATTTAAAAAAAAGTGTAATAAATGTACAATACGGAATAATGTTTTATAAGAATTTCTTTAATTTTCTATAATAAAACTTTTTTATTTATACATAATTTTTGTTGAAAAAAAAATTGATTTACATGTAATATTAATCATAATTGATCTCAGTTTGTTCCAATTTACTTTTTTGGTCTTCCTCTTTTTGTTCCTAGTACATCCTTGACTATGTTTCTTAAATTCTTTGACGATCCCTTTTTCGACTGCAATAAGAATTTATTTGATTAAATTTGAAATTTAAATTAATTTTACTTCTTTTAATTTTAGTAATTATTATTGACTATAATTAATTTTTTGTTCTCTTAAAGAAGAGATTTTAGTGTGGAAAAACAATTTTACCTCTTCCCATTCCTTATGAAGTTCCTGCAGCATATCAAGAGATAATTGACCCTTCGCTATCAGAGACTCGGAAACTTTTCCTTTAACTGCAATTAATTTACATAATTAGAGAAAATAATAAATTAATTAACTTGTTATTTAAATAAATTATTATAATACCTGGGGCGAAAGTCATTACATCTGATTCTTTGCTGCCGATACCTGTAAAGAATTTTTTAACAGAAATTAACCGAAAAACGTTAATTTCTTTATTTAAATTAAATTACATTAATTAAATAATTAATTAGTTAATTTTATTAATTGAGCCTCCCAATTCAAGAACTCGCCCGACGCTGGGATAAAAGAGCCGCGTCGGGCGAGTTCTTGAATTGGGAGGCTCAATTTCATTCATTTAATAACTAAGATATTTCGTCATTTTCATAAATAATTAGGGTTGACACAAGTCAGGGAAATGTCAGAAAAATTAATCAAAAGCACTGGAAAATTAACAGAATTTTATAATTACTTCAAAATTATTAGTTTCTGAATCCAAAAATATTTTTTAAATACTTAAAATTTAAAAACCTTGATTTTTCCATGAATTTTTTTCCACTTTAAAAATGTTTGAATCACAATGAATTTGAAAATAATACCTTGATTTTTCCTATTTCCGTAAATAACTAATTTTTATAATAATATTCTTCAAGTTATTTATCGAAATTAACTTAGAAAAGATTTTAATTTAAAAAAAAGTTACAATTTCGCGCATGAATTGAATTTCAGAAGGATTTGAACTAAAATTTTTGAAAATTTAAATTTCTGTGAAGAAATTAATAATAATAAATTTATTGTTTAAAAAATTATTTAAATTTAAACAAATTTTATTTAAAATTCTGTAAAAATAATTTTCTGAGAAATTTTAATTCAATTTTTTAAAGATATTTGAATTTTTAACAAAATTTTATTTTAAAAATTGAAAATTTTAAATTTGAATGGAAATTTGAATTTGAAATTTAATTTAAATAAAAATTATGGAAATATTCTGAATTAAAATTGAAAATATAGATAATTAAATTTTTTTAAATATGGCGAATTTTTTAAAGATACTTGAATTTTTACAAAATTTTTAATTTAATTTAAATGGAAATTAATGGAAATTTTAATTTTAAATTTAATTTAAATGTGAAATAATGAAAATTTTAAAATTTAATTTAATTTAAATGGAAATTTTAATTTTAAATTTAATTGAAATGGAATAATGGGAATTTTAATTTTAAATTTAATCTAAATGGAAATTAATGGAATTTTTAATTTAATTTTAATAGAAATTTTGGGAATTTTATGAATTAAAATTGAAAATATAATTACATTTTTTTAAAAAATAGAGAATTTAAAAAACAACCAATTTTTCAAAGAAATTTAATTTAACAGATAAAAAAAATAACTGAATTTTCCAGAGTCACAATCGAATGTATTAATATGTTTGTTAGTATAAAAAGCAGAATTAAAGGGTCGAAATTGCTTCTAAAATAATTTAATTTTCAAAGAGTTACATTTACAATTTTCACTAATTAGTTTCTATTTTTAAAATTTATATTTTTTAATTAAATGTTTATAAATCAGCAATTAAAAATTTTTGAAATAATTAAAATCTCCTGAAATTCTATTATAAATTATATTATATTTTTAAAAAATATTATTGAAATTTTTGAAAAAAATGGAGGAAAGTTAGTCTAAATAATTTATTTTATTTTTAAAATAGTGCAACGCTGGTAAAGTTCTAAATTAAGATTTTTGCTTCTAAAAATTATCTTTTCTTACAATTGAATTTATTAAAATTTTTTTTTTATATAGAGATACGAGAAAAAGTCGAAATTTTATTTGGAAATCAGGAAGAAACAAAATAAAATTTTTCTGACAACCCTGATAATATAAATATTATATAATCGATATAAACAGTTTTTTAAATTGAATATTAATTATTCACAAATGATATTAATCATAAAGTATAAAAATTAACGTACCTTTCTTTGAGTTTTTAATTAATTGTGTTAAAATAATAATACTCTCTTCAATTAAAGAGTCCAAATTTTCTTGCATTCTTCTTATTTCATCGCCATCGGAAAATAAATCCGGGAATCGATAGCTGCAAACGTAAATATTAATTAAATAAAAAAGAATATTCAAATATAATTAAATATTGTGTTATATTAATAAATATCTTTTAAATATTATTAAATAATAATAATGTTCTTTCTTTATACCTGAGCCATAAGTAAAGATCTAAAATATCAAAAACAGCTTCTAAATTCATTAATTCTTGAATATTCATGGGATTCGTCTGTGGCCAACCAATGTTTTGTTGAACCCATTTTGCAGTAATAACATCGTTTTTGCTATACTGACGGGCGTACTGTATAAACAGAGAAATTACAATTAATTACCATTTGTAATTTTTAAAGAAAAAAAAAAAAGAATTTCCATGAATCGAGAATTTTGAAAAGGGCTCAACTCTCGAAAAAAGAGAAGTCTCATTTTCACTTAACAAAATTGCTAGGGAAAATGATTCTTACAATTTTTAGAGTTGAGCCCTTTTCCAAATTCACGATTCAATTATACCTTTGAAAGAATACGAAAATATTACCTTTAGAAACATGGAGCATAGGAATGGCAATTTTCTATTGATAGGTGCACAACAAAAGACGTATCGAGCACGCAGAGGGAGATTTACATGTTGAATCATGTCGGCTAAATATTTAAAATCATTCATGTCACATATAAAATATAATGAGTCGTCTACAGTGGACAATGAAACGAAAATATCCTAAAAAAGTAAATTTTCGAATATAATTTATGTATAATATAATATAATTTATAATAATAATTATTTTATGCACGATTAAGAAAATTACCATTAAGTTCGAAAGAGGAGCGTCTGGTAAATGATAAGCGTACATTTCAATTTGATCTGCAGTTGGATGCAAACCAGCTTTCGTTATACTTTCAGGAGCTGAATTCATAATTGTCTTCAAAGTTCGTAAATCCTGTGGTTTGAACGTTGTCACGTAGCCCTAAAATATTCCAACATTTTCTTAGCGTCAGATTTAAATTTCTATTTGAATTATTTAAATAAAAATATATAGAATTAATAAAAAAAGAAACAAAGTTATAATTTTTGATAATATTAGTATTAGTAATATTACAGGGTTGCCACGCAACTTGGAAACCTGGAAAACCTAGAAATGTCAGGGAATTTTATAAACCTTAAAAAAACCTGGAAAACTCAGGGAATTTTGATCGGAATCCTGGAAAATTATTGTTTTCTAAATAATTATTGTGTTTAATCTTGAAATCGAATTTTACTTAAATATATCTTTCAAAATTAATTCAATTTTAAAAGAGTTGCGATTGTACTTTTCTTAAATAGATGAACTTCAAAAGGTTTTAATTTGAAATTTTAGAAAATTTAAATTTTTAATGAATGAATTAAATAATACAAATTTCATAGGAATTATATTATTTACAAATTTTTTATAAATTTCTTTCCAATAATTCAATTATTTTCATGAAAAATAACATTTTTTACCAGGAATTCAATTATTTTCATAAATAATAAAATTCTATGTAGGTTTTCAATTATTTTCATAAATAATAAAACTCATCGTAGAACTTCAATTATTTTTAATACAATTTTAATGGAATTTCTCAAAAAATGTAATTATTCTTCAAAATTTTATTAAAATTCATCAAAGAAATTTAATTATTTGAAAAAGCCTTCCTATAATTTATTCATTAGATTTTAAGTATTATTATCAATACATTTTTAATTAAATTTCTTCAAAGAATTAAATTATTTTCAAAAATAGTAATGAAATTCCTTTTAACACGCAGGAATTTTTTTTTCAAAATAATTCTAATAAAATTCTTCGTAGAAATTTAATTAATTTCAATAATTTATCAAAATTCAATTAATTTTAATATCTACTATTTCAATAAAATTTCACAAAAGAATTCAATTAGAAATATATTATTAAAATTCGTCTCAAGAATTCAATTATTTTCAAAAGTAATAAACTTCTTCGCAGAAATTCAATTATTGTCAAAAGTTTAAAAAAATTATCGTCAAAATTTCAATTATCTTTATAAATAATAAATTTATAAATGATAAACTCCTCAAAATTCAATTATTTTCAAAAATTTTAATAAAATTCTTGTCAAATTTTCAATTATTTACAAAAACTTTTTTCAATTTAATCAAATTTTTTACAGAGATTCAATTATTTTTAATACAATTTTAATCTAATTTCTTTAAAAATGAAATTATTTTTAAATATTTTATTAAAATTCGTCTCAAGAATTGAATTATTTTCAAAAGTAATAAAATTCTTCGCAGAAATTAAATTATAGTCTTAAAAAAATTCTCGTCAAAATTTCAATTAGCTTTATAAATAATAAAATTCTTCTTCAAAATTCAATTATTTTCAAAAATTTTAATAAAATTCTTGTCAAAATTTCATTTATTTACAAAAACTTTTCACAATTCAATGAAATTTTTTACTCAGATTCAATTATTTTTAATACAATTTTAATCTAATTTCTTCAAAAATGTAATTTTATTCCTAAAAAATATTTTATTCTCGATTTTATTTAAATTCGTCAAAAATATTCAAATATTTAAAAATTTGTTGATAAAATTCTTTATGAAAGTTCAATTTTAAGAAACATTCAATTATTCAATAAATTATTCATTTTTGTATTTAAATAATTGAATTTTCTTTGAATTTTCTAATGGAAATTGCTTTAAATATTAATTTCAGTTAAAGTTTTAGATAATAATTGAATATTAAACTCTCGAAATTTGAATTAGTGAAAAAAATGGTTTCTAATTTGAATTAGTGACTGACTTTTTGCTTTTGTATTAGTAGATTGTACCAATAAATAGTCGTTTCTACTAATTTAATTGTAAAATTTTCCAATTAAAAAGCAAAAAGTCAGTCAGTAATTTCAATTAGTAAACATTTTTACTAATTCAAATTTAAAGAGAAAGTATTATAACGTGAATTTTTAGAAATAATTTAATTTTGAAAAGGTTTCAAATTATAATCTTTAAAAGTTTGAATTTTTTCATACTTTTAACTGAAAATTGTGTATAGATTAAATTTTTTTAAAAAGTTTAATATGGAACTTTTTAGAAATTATTTGAAGTTTTTATTTTCAAATATTTAAAGAATTTCCGAATAATCGATGATATTTCGTAAAATTGAATTGTAAATAAAAGAAATTGAAAATTTTCAAAGAAATTTTTCAAAAATTATTAAAAATGAATGAATAATTAATTTAAAGAAGAATTTTAGTTTTAAATTCTACAAAATAATTGAATTGAAATGAAAATAATTTTGATGAAGTTACAATATAACAATATTCTTATAATATAAAATCATTATTTTATCATCATCTTTAATTATTATAAAACATGAAGATATCGATTGCTCCGAGTCGAAGACTCGGGAGTGATCGATTTCTTCATATTTTATAACAATTGTTTATATATATTATTTTTATATATTTTATATATATAAATTTTATTATTTAGTTAATAAAATAAATTTCAATACCGTTTCCCATTGAGTACCGAAACGACCTGCACGTCCAGCAATTTGAAGAGCAGATGAAACACTGATAACGTCCATTTCTTTTTCACCTTTTCCATTGACAGTTGGTTTGACCATGGAATAAAATATAATTCTTCTTATATGTCTGTAATAAAATAAAGAATTAATTTTTTATTTTCAAAATAATAAATTTGAAATTATAATTTATTTCTTATACTTAATAATCTATCATATATAATTTAATATGAAATTCAAAGAAAATAACTCACAAATTTAAACCCATTCCAATAGCGTCGGTGGCAATTAATATTTTACAAGGATGATCTGGATTGTTAAATTTTGCCGCCTGTGCTAATTTTGTACCAGGCGGTAGACTACCATAAATAACGGCAACATCTTTACCAATTCTTTCAATGGATCGTGACACCGTGTAAATGTCATTCTTATTAAAACACACTATACAATCACCGGGACGAACATTTTTTAAAGTAGTCAATGCTTCACTCTCAACAAGCAAATTCGTCAAGCGCTTATAATTTCGAACTTCCAGTGTATCCCCTGTCGCATCACACAGTGATTGAACCTATTTTTTAATGGCAAAAATTTATAACGGAAATTAATAAACGTTTCGAATAAATATAAATGTAAATGCAAATGTAAAAATGTAAACGTAAATATAATAAATATTGACGTGAATGTAACTGAAAAGTTAAATAAAATTCTAGAATAGAATGCGTACAAGATCAACAGCACCGGGTTCGCCACACACGTGAACTTCATCGGCACAAAGTCCAAGGAGAGCTCTGGTCCAGGCCCAACCTCTTCCAAAGTCTTTCATTAATTGAATTTCGTCTATTATAACTATTTCAACTGAAATAGAATAATCACAATTATACATACAATCGATAAATTATTATTACTATACTTTTTAATTCTTAGACTGTTTGTAAAGAAATTTTTACTTACAGGGTGTACTAACGTTCGCCATTTCAACTGTACAGGCAACATGACTTGATGGTTCGTCAGGTCCACGGGCAAATCTTTTATCTTCTCCAGTTATTAAATCACAAGGGGTACCCTATAATAGAAAATCTATAATTATTTAAAATTCAAAAATTAAAATTAAATTATAATAGCAATTAAATCTGCATTAATAGTCATTGAATTCCGGTAATCTGTTTACAGTTTAAAATTGTTTGCTTTTTTTCTTTCCTAACTTCTTTTTAAATGCTTTGAATTTGAAACTTAATGTATACTAAAAATCATCGGAGTCTTGCTAAGACTTTTAAACAAATTTTTGAAAATAATTTAATTCCTTCGAAGAATTTTATTATATTTTTTAAAAATAATTTAATTCTTTCGATAAATTTTATTAACCTTCGAAGAATTTTATTATATTTTTTGAAAATAATTTAATTCTTTCCAGAATTTTTATTAAAATTCTGTTGAAAATAATTGAACTTCCAGGAGGAATTTAAAATTTTTTTTAAATTATTGGATTTTTGAGAAGAATTTTATTACCATTTATAAAAATAATATAATTGTTTTGAAGAATTTCTTTGAATTTTTTTGAAAATGGAGTATTTTTTAATAACTTTAATTAAAAACTTTGAAAGTAATTTATGAAAATTATTGAATTTTTGCGAAGAATTTTATTAACATTTTTGAAAATAATTGAACTGTTTTGAAGAATTTCTTTGAATTTTTTTGAAAATAATAAAGTTTTCTATTATAATTTTAATTGAAAATTTTGAAAATCATTGAATTTCGTGCAGAATTTTTTTCAAGTTCTCAAAATAATTAGGTTTGTTAATAATTGTAATTAAAATTTTGATTATAGAATTTTATTAAAATTTTTAGGAAATGATTGAATTTTCCTCGGAATTTTGAAAATAATAATTGAATTCTTCCGACGAATAATTTAAAGTTTTTGACTATTGTTGAATTTTTTTAACCATTTCTTTAATTATTTGGAATATAATCTATTTTATTCATTATTGTAATTAATTAATAATTTTATTATTAAATTTTATTAAAATTATTGATAAGAAATTAAAGTTTTTTTTAAAAATAATGTTGACTTTATTAATAATTGTAATTTAAAATTTGATTATTGAATTCTACCAAAATTTTTTGAAAATAATTGAATTTCTTGTCAGTATTTTATCACAATTTTTGAAAATAATTGAATTCTTGAGTAGAAATTTATTATTTATAAAAATAATTGAATTGTAATAAAACATTCCATATAAACTTTTAAGAATAATAAATTGTATTCTTTTGAAAAATTTTATCAACATTTTTCAAAATAATTGAATTCTTTTCAAACATTTTATTAAAATTGTATTAAAAATAATTGAATTCCCGCGAAAAATTTTATTATTTATGAAAATACAAAAAGAATGCTTCTTGCGAAAAAAACAAAATTTTTATTTTTGAAAATAATTAAATTGCATCTATTGAAGAATTTATTTGAATTTTTTTTAAAAATAATGGTGTTTAATTACAATAATAATTGAATTCTTGCAAAGAAATGTATTATTTATGAAAATAATTGAATTCTAATAAAATATTTCATTATAACTTTTGAGAATAATTTTGTCTTCTATCAAAAAATTCATTAATATTTAAAGTTTATTTAATATTTTAAAGTTCAGCCACTTATGTTTAATTTTTGATAATATTTAGTATTTTTGCTTAGTGCAATAAAATTAGTATCAAGAGTACTTTGTACGAAAGGGCATAGTCCCGTTTACTACTTAAATAAATAAATATTTTTTTTAAAATAATTAAATTCTTTTGACAATTTTTATTATTTATAAAAATAATTATTGAATTCTTTTGAGAATTTTCATTACTTATAGAAATAATTGAATTCTTGCCACGAATTTTATTAAAATTGTAGGAAAAAAATCTTTATTAATTATATGTATTTAAGAAGAGAATTTTTTAAAAACTTTGTATCTGAAATTATTTAAAAATTGAAGTTGATATTTGAAAATTTTGTAATTTGAATAATAATAAATTCAATACCATATTTCTCGGGCGTAACATTTTCTATAGTTAAATTAGAATTAAATTAAATTATCTTATGAAATTAAATAGTAACAAAAAATACAATAACAGTCTACTAATTGCTAAATACTTACAGTATCATTACATTTATTGAAAACTTCAACAGCTAATAATTTCAAAGGGCCACAATAGAGACCAGATGATGATTTCTTAAATTTTTCCAGAGCGTGGTAAGTTTTACCACTATTCGTTGGTCCAGCGTGAAAAATAACTTTCCTTTTCTTTTCTCTAGCCAATGGATACCTGTGAATTTATTCAAAAAGCATTATTATTCATTATAAATCACTATTAAAATTGAATTCGTGTCCAGTACTAACCAATTGACTGGTGTTCGAAGATCGCTAATTTTTTTGAGATCTTCGATACAATCGATGTGGGGAAATATTTCCTTCGCATGGCGAATATAATATGGAAATATGTCTGTTATATGTCCGGCTCCTTGTATGATATCGCTTAAGATTACATGAAGATCGACTGGCAATGATTTTGTTTGTAAACAATATTGTTTAAAATTCTCATGTACTTGTTGTTGTAGGTGAGCTGTTAATTTAAAGTTAAACTATTAAGTTAATTATTTAACTATATAAGGTAAATTAATACAAAAAAATGTATTTTCTTTGCTCTTACAATCCAATCCATATTCTAAAGAAAGAGTCTCAACATCCTTTTGTTTTCGGAATTTCTCCAATATTTTTTGAACTTCTGTTGTTGATAATGTACCACTGAGTTCTGCGCCTACGTTGATATCATCTGAAGTTTGTTTTAATGGAACCGGCTTAAAAAGCGAAGTGTAACTCTCATTACCATCGCCTGTTTTCTTCCCTCGACAATGCTCTATTCTCAATACACTTAATCTTGCAGATCTGAGAAAAAAATCCAAACATTTTAAAAAATCGTCTTATAATTCATTATTTGATGCGATTTTTCTATTTACTTGTTTTTTTTTAATTCTACATATAATTGATAATAATTAACTAAATATTAATATTTTAAACTATATGAACACAAATTAAAAAAGAAATTATAATTATGAAAAATTGTTATTTTGTTACACAATTTAACAACAAATAAGAAAATTAAACAAAAAATTGATTAAAATCGCAAATTATTATTAATAAACATCTATTAAATAACACACAAAGTATTTTGTATAAATTTATGTTAAAATATTTAATAAAAAATTAATAATTTACCTTTTAAGTAATGTTCTACTGAAAAAAGAATTTCTTCTTAATAAAATTTCAGAAATACATCTTTTAGCTGGTATCATATTTGATTGGATTTTAAATTAATATTTAAAGTAAAAAAATATCTTCCTCATTGGGAAAATAGATTAATATCACATGTATAATAACAACAATAAATTAAAAAAGTATAATTTTAAAATTTGCAAAGGTTTTTAGGTTATGTTTTCCATAACACGTGTTGAATACAACTGACATGCGCAGTAATTATGCGTGAACTTGATGCGCAGTGGTGTAGTTTTAATAAACAATTTATACTCACGTGTTCACGTGTCATTTATAAAAAAAAACATTTTTCATCAAATTCCATATTAATTTAGTGATGAAAAATGAAAATTTCTCGACAGAAGAAAGTGCAAAAGCATCTTAATTTTTATAAGAATAATTTCAAATTCAGAGAACCCTTTCAAGTTCTCATAGATGGAACTTTTGCGTTCGCTGCTCTTGAGGTTAGAAATTTATATTATTATTGTTTTTGAGTTCTTTAAAAGTCAAATATTATTTTTTATCAAAAATAATTTGTTATTCTATTTTTGTGTTACTATTATAATGGTAATTAATAACTATTTTCCACAGTCAGGTCTCGAACCAGTGAAAGTATTTAAATATAATACGGACTAAAAATGAAAAATTATGGACCAATTTTATTGACAAAAATATAACCAGAATATTGTACTTCTTCAAAATTATTTTCATCATTTCAATTAAATTATTAAATTATACAATTTTTAACTAAAATTATACTTCAAATCAATTATTTTTAATGATTTTCGAAAAAGTTCTTTGACAATTTTCAAATCCATATTTGTTTCCAATATTCAATTTCACTAAATTTCAATTATTCGTAAATTCTCCAATTTAATATATATTAGAAAATAAAAGCTTAAAATAATATAAACAAAATTCAATTAAACTTTTTCAAAAAAACTAATTTCAAAATTCAATTATTTCTAAAAATTCACGTTTTATTGCTTTTAATATTCAATTATGTTTTAACTGAAATTCATTTTTAAATCAATTTTTAATAGAAAATTCTACATAGAATTAAATTATTTAAATACAAAAATAAATAATTTATTGAATGTTTCTTAAAATTCAATTCCCATAAAGAATTATTATCAACAAATTTTTAAATAATTCATTTCTTTTGACGAATTTTAATTAAATTTTTAAGAATAATTACATTTTTCGAAAAATTTGATAAAAATTGTATTAAAAATAATTGAAATTCTGCGATGAATTTTATTATTTGTGAAAATAATTGAATCCCACAGAAGAATTTTATTATTTTTTAACAAAATTAAATTTCTGCGAAGACTTTTATTACTCTTGAAAATAATTGAATTTCTGCAATAATTTGAAGCTTCTCCAAATTTAATTTTTTTAGTGTTTTTAACTAAAATTTTCCTCTAAATCAATTATTTTTAATAACTTTTTAAAAAGTTCTTTGAGAATTTTAAAATTCATTTTTTTATAATTCAATTTTACGAAATTTCAATTATTCGTAAATTCTTCAATTAAGAAGAAAATAAAAACCGCAATTAAACTTATTTAAAAAAAATTGATTCCACAGAATGGTTTGTTAAAAAAATCAAAAATTCAAATTTTCAAAGATTTTATTTTGAAACGTTTTCAAAATTCAATTATTTCTAAAAATTTACTGTATATTGCTTTTAATATTAAATTTTTAATCTAAAATTTTAACTGAAATTCATTTTTAAATCAATTTTTAATAGAAAATTCTACGAGAATTCAATTACTTATTTAATTACAAAAATTATAAATTTATTGAATAATTGAATGTTTATTAAAATTAAATTCTCATAAAGAATTTTACTAACAAATTTTTAAATAATTCAATTCTTTTGAAGAATTTTAACAAAATATTTAAGAATATTTACTATTAATTAATTTTTTGAGGAATTCGATTAAAATTTGATTAAAAATTATTTTATTAAAATTCTGCAATGAGATTTACTATTTATGAAAATAATTTAACTTCTAAAAAGAATTTTATTATTTACCAAAATAATTGAATCCCTGGTACAAAATTTTATTATTTTTGAAAATAATTGAATTATTGCGAAGAAATTTATAAAAAATTTGTAAATAATTGAATTCCTGTGAAATTTTTTATTATTTTATGAAAATAAATAAATGTTTGCGTAGATTTTTATTAAATTTTGTTCAAATAATTGAATTCTTTTGGAGAATTTTATTAAAATAGTTAGATATTGAAAATGATTGAATCCATGGAAATTTTTGGAAGATAATTGAAATTTTTACAAGAATTTTATTAAAATTTATGAATATATTTGAATTTCAGAGAAGAATTTTATTATTTAAATAAACAATTTGAATAATTGAATTATTATTTGAATATAATTTTTATTTTATTATTTTTTTTATTACTTTTAAAAATAATTGAATTACTGCAATCATTTGTAATTTTTCTAAAATTCTTCAAATTATATCGTATAATTTACGAACTTTTTGTCTTTTTTGAATCAAATTAACGGATCAAATCAAATTTACGGACCTTTTTTTAAAAAAAAACTTACTTTTACGGACTTTTATGGGATTTAGTTCGAGCCCTGCACAGTAAAAAAATGATTCTCTTAATTAGTAAAACAATTATATTTTTGTTTTGAAGTAAAATTATTATATCGTAATTTTCAGGCAAAATTTAATATCAAGGAACAAATAACGAAATATTTTCAAGCTGAAGTGAAACTTTTAACGACACAATGTATGATTCTGGAGACAGAGAAATTAGCGCAATTAGAAATGAAATTAAATGGAGCCTTACGAATTATAAAACAATTTCCATTACATAAATGTGGACACGAAAAAAATTCTATTTCCGGTTCCAAGTGCTTTAATTCAATGCTTGCTAACAATAATTCTTCTAGGTAAAATCTTTAATTTATATTTGAAATAAACATGTCATAGGTATATTTTAAACCAAATAAATTCGTAATGATTTTTTCTAAATTTTAGATATATTATCGCAACTCAAGATCGTCAATTTCAAGATCACATCAGAAGACTTCGAGGAGTTCCTCTTCTTTATTTACACGACAAAGCACCGACTCTCGAAAGACCTTCTGAAGCCACTTGCAAACACGCCGAGGAATTACGAAATGGAACAATAACAAATTCTCTACAGGTTCAAACTGTAAAGATCTTGAAGCAAAAGTCAGGTTTAGAAGAAACGGAAATTAAACTCAAGAAAAAACGAAAAAAAGGAGGTCCCAATCCGTTAAGTTGTAAGAAAAAACAAAAGAAAAGTGTTGTCAATCAACCTCCATCGAGTGGTAAAATTCGAAAACGAAAAAGAATTAAAATATCGTCTCACGTAAAAGATGCTTTACAAAAAGAAATTTCGTCTTGATTTAAAAGGATTGACAGCAACAAAAAGAACCGACTAATTGTATATATTTAATTTTAATTAATATCAAAATTAAAATTAAACCTAAATTACAAATTATATTTATAATTATTTATCTAACATTAAATAGAAAATAAAATACAATAGACAATTTGTATATAAGAAATGAATTTATTTATCTTTATAATACACTTCATTTTGTTTAGTATTTGCTGAAAGTTTATTTTGAGTAAAAGAGTTTGTTTTGTATATAACATAATACAAAAGATTTAAATTTATTACTCTATTCACGCTTACAAGCAAAAGTCGAAATGGGTGGCACAGTTTTATTCTTTTTTTAGGTATGCAAGTTTCGTCTAAAACAAGTTTAAAATCTATATATTACAATCTTACAAATATTCTCTCTAAGTAAAAAAAAAGAATTGCAACGAGCTTCATTTCTAAAAAGTTCTCTTTTTACATTAAAGCATTTTTAAAATTTATCTTTCACATACATTTCCAATTGAATTCCCTCTCATTTTTCGGAATTTTTTTATTTAAAACTAAATTCCATAAAATGTTAATACAAAAAGTCGAAAATTTCATATTTATGTATAGTGTAAAAAATTATGTTGCTTTAGAAAATTTATTGATTGTACATTAAACACAAAAACAAACATGATACAATTCTAAACTAAAAACCAAGAAAAAAAATTGAATTTAGAAAATTGAAGCAAAACTGTGAATTAAGAATGAAGTGACGAATAAAGTAATACAAAAAAAAAGAAAAAAAAATTGAAATAAAGAAATAAAAAAAAGTTTTTACTGCTTATCAGTGCAGTCTCTTATTCTCAGAAATTAAACATAAATTTCGCATTAATATCGACAAAATATCAAAAATAAAATCTAGAGAAATAATATTAATTTCCGTAGACTAAATATTGTTTGGGGAAAAAAAAGTAACGATAAAACTGAATTTTAAATACAATTTGGAAGCTTTGTTTCAAAAAAATTGTCTGCACAAATTTTCATTTGACGTAGGAAAAAAAACTTTTTTCTTTGAAAAACAAATATTGTATAGTGGAAGAGAAAAAGGTTTTTTTTTTAAAAATATTTCCGCGACTGGGAAAAATATTCTTTTAGCTCCGTCCCGAAAAGTTTTGAAACAAAATAGAAATAATGACGCTTAGTAAAACAAAAAAATGCCCAACTGTTGTAACTGATTTCTCGTGTTAGAAAACAACGGAAAAGACGTGATAAATATTTAAAAAAAAAATTATACATAAAATCCTGAGAAAAATCACTTAAAAATACGTTTTTTGACTTTCGAAAAATTCCTCTAATTGAAAATCTATTTTCCTAAAAAGTCAAAAAGCGTATTATTGTGATTAGTTTGATAAAAATAAAATACTAAATGAAAACTAAATCCTATTGCACTAAATGCAAATATATATCTCTATATTTATATTACTTAAAAACAATTTTTCATTCAAATTAAAAAAAAATAATAATGCACAAATAATAAAATTTAAATTATATTCTAGAAATAAACTCTTGAAAAATCTATATAATGATTGATGATATTTTACATGATTGGAAGAAAAAAATATATATAAAGAACTTTTCCATTGTTTTTGTGCGAAAAAAAATGCACTTTTTTTTGACGAGACACTTCAGTGCAAAACGGTTGGTTTGGTTTTTATATCACGAAAGTAAAAAATACATAATATATCGAAATATAGTCTCACGAATATGTTGGTCATGGACGATCATTGCACAATGATCGTGTTGCCATTGCGAGCATTTTCATCGCTCGAGCTGAACGATGATTAGGATTTGCAGTTACAAAATGACCAAGTTGAGTATGTAAATTGCTCACAACTGTTCCAATATGTTCACGTGTCACAGGATCGGCGGGATCTAAATTTAAAATTGCCTCTTCCAACCACCTAAAACATTCGATAGCGAAATTTTGAGAATTTAGATTTCTTTTACAATTTCTAATAACGACTTTTTCCTTTTTAATTCAATAAGTAATAAGATTCTCTTTTCTTATTCAATAAATCAAATTAAGAAGGTTCTTCTTTTTTAAGAGAAAAGTTTAATTAAAATAAGTTTTCAATTAATATTCACCTGTGTTTGAGTTCAGTTCGGTGTCCTAGATCGGCAGAAAGTTGCTGTACAAGAGAAAGTATCACAGGTTGCTGTAAAATTGATCGTGGACCCTGCGAACCCATTGGGCTTGAGAACACTCGATTAGGATCAGTTTTTTCACAGACTAGTGTAACTAGACTCAAGTCACTTGCACTCAATGCTTGTTGGAAAGCTGCGTTCAATTGGCCTCTTTGTAAAAGAGACAAAATTCTCGCTTGAATATCAGCAACACCCGCAGCCGGTGGTCCTGGCGTTGTTGCTCTTGATCTGCAATAATATTTTTTTAAATATATTTTACAAAACCAGGGATGACATAAAAAGTTAATTTAATTTTTCCCAGCTTTCCAGACCGAATTTTGACTTTTTCCCTGACCCTAAAGAATATTTTGATTCACTCTCAAAATGATTGGATACTCAAAAAAAAAAATTATGTATATTACATTTATTTACGAATTTCTTTAATTGTAAATTCGAAAACATCAACAACTTATTTTTTAAATAAATATTTAATCATTATAATTTTTCCATAGGATTTAAGATTTACAAAAATTTCAAATTCAAACCTTTTTGAAATTAAACAAATAATAATTAAAGATGACCGAATGACAAAAATCATTATTTTGTATTATAAGAATATTGTTACTGTAACTTCTTTAAAATTATTTTCATCATTTTAATTCAATTATTATTTTCTAGAATTTTTAAACTAAAATAAATTTTTCTCTAAATCAATTATTTTAAATATTTTTTTTGAAAAAGATCTTTGAGAATTTTCAAATCCATTTGTTTACAATTCAATTATATAAAATTTTAACTAAAATTAATTTTTAAAACAATTTTTTTAGAAAATTCAACGAGAATTAAATTATTTAATTTTATTATTTATAAAAATAATTAAATGTTTGGGTAGAAATTTATCAAAAATGTTTTTTAAATAATTGAATTTTTTTGATGAATTTCATTTTTAAATAGTAAATATTGAAAATCATTGAATTGACGACAATTTTTGAGAATAATTGAAATTTTGACAAGAATTTTATTAAAATTTAAAAAAAAAATTGAAATTTTTACAAGAATTTTAAGAAATTTTTTAACTTAATTGACAAGATTGCCACGCTTTTCTTTATTTTAAATTTCCTAACTTTTCCAGGTTTTTAAAACTACATTTGTTGCCAACAAAAATTTAATTTTTGTTTTCCCTGACTTTCCCTCGAATTTCAGACAAAATTCTTACTTCTCCTTGACTCTAAACAATATACTCATTCAGTTTAAAAATTATTACTCTTAAAAATGTTCTATTGCTTCTTTTTTAAATAAATATTTTCTAATCATTATTATTTTTCCATAAAAAATTAAGATTTTCAAAAATTTCAAATTTAAACCTTTTTGAAATAAAACAATTTTAAGAAAATTGTTATAAAACATGAAGAAATCGATCAATCGATAACTTCATATTTTATAATAATTAAAGATATCCGACTGATAAAATCATTATTTTATATTATAAGAATATTGTTACTGTAATTTCATAAAAATTATTTTCATTTCAATTCAATTATTTTCTAAAATTTTTATCTAAAATTCATCTTAAAATTAATTACATTTAATAATTTTTGATAAATTTCTTTGAAAATTTCCAAATCCTTTTGTTTCTAATTTTAATTCAATTTTACGAAATTTCATCGATTATTCGGAAATCCAACAATCAAAATATATATAAGAAAATAAAAACTTCAAATAATTTCAAAAAAGTTCCATTAAACTTTTTTAAAAAAATTTAATCTACACAATTTTCAGTTAAAAGTATGGAAAATTCAAACAAACAAAAGGAAAAAGTCAGTCACTAATTCAAATTAGAAACTGTTTTTACTAATTTAAATTTAGAGAGTTCAATATTCAATTATTATCTAAAATTTTAACTGAAATTCATATTTTCAATGAATGTTTATTAGAAAATTCTACGGGAATTCAATTATTTAAATACAAAAATAAATAATTTATTAAATAATTGAATGTTTCTTAAACTTGAACTCTCATAAAGAATTTTATCAACAAATTTTTAAATAATTAAAATTCTTTTGATGAATTTTAATAAATATTTTTAAGAATAATTTCATTTTTAGAGAAATTTGATTAAAATTGTATTAAAAATAATTAAATCTCTGTATAAAGTTTGATTGAATTGAGAAAAGTTTTTGAAAATAATTTAAATTTTGCCAAGAATTTTATTATTTATAAAGATAATTGAAATTTTGAGGAGAATTTTTTTTAACTTTTTTTTTTTTTTTTATATTTGTGGATAAATGATTATTTCTGAATTATTTTGCAATACCCAATGGCATTTATATCTTCTTTTAGATATTTACATTAAAAGTCACTGAGGTTCAACTGCAATAAGTTAAAAATATTAGGATTTATAATTAAACTTTTAATTGAAGACTTTAAAATGTTAAAAATGTATGCAACAATTATATAAATAATAATAATATACGGTCAATTCTACGTCACAAGTATATTTTATTTATAGTATATGGAGTGTATAACTCCTTTTTCATTTTAAGCCAAGTATAATAAAGTAAAGAAAAGTAAAGATTTCCTTCTTCTTCTTCTTCTTCTTCTTCTTCTTTACTTTATATTTTATTTATTCCTTTTAGAAAAAAGGTATACGTATCCTTTATTTTTCTATTCTATAGGGGGACCAAAATATTTTTTGCAAACTATCCTTATTATTTGTAAGTATGTATTAGATAAGTTTTCTAAATTCAATAGTTTTAGAGTTATAGATTTTAGAGTCTACTTTTAAAAATCCAAAAATTTGGTTACCTATAAAAAATGAAAAAATAGATTTACAATAATATATTTTCATCCTAATTGAAAATGTGGACTGAAATTTAACGTGAAATTGCCTATATACTTATAATATATCTTTTTTTAATTTTTGAAAAATATAAGACTGAAGGTAGTTCTCTGGCTTCTACTCCTGTAAAAATTTATTTTCTTCAAATTTTGAGGAAATGTTTCTTTTGGTGCCCTTTAAATGTGGTAAAAATTTCAAAACCCTTTGCGATGCTAAATTTTGACTTATTCAAGTTCAAACTTTCACTTTTCCATGCGTTTATGTTAAAAATAAAAAATGTCAACCACAATATCTCGTTTTTTGACATGGCAAAAGGTTTTGAAGTTTCTATCACATTTAAAAGGCATCCGAAGAAATATTTCCTCAAAATTTGAAGAAAATCTATCCAAAATCAATTTTTAAAAGAGTAGCAGCCGGAGAACTACCTTAAATTGAAATTTTTTTTTATAGATTTTAATGAATTAGAGAAAATTTCCAAAAATTCCCGGATATTTTTTTAATTCCCGGCAATTTCCCGGGTTTTTCCCGGTCGAACTAAATTCCCGGTTTTCCCGTTTTTCCCGGACGCTAGACACCCTGATTATTTAATTCATTCATTTCATTCATTCCCTGACTTTTCCAGGTTTTTGTCAAGGCTTATAAAATCTAAATCAGTTACATATTTTCAATAATTTCGAGAAAGTTCTTTGATAATTCAATTACTTAAAACAAAAAAAGATTACTTAAATAACGAAGAAAAATTCAAATTTTTCTAAAATTAGTTTTATGAAATTTCGAATATTCAAAAATTTTTGAATTAAATATAATATTATAATCGAAATTTGATAAAATTGAATTTTTGTTTTTTTTAATAATTGGACTATAAAAGAATTTTCTTATAAGTGTTAAAAATAATGGATTTAGCAAAAAGTTTTAATTAAAAATTCTAGAAAATAATTGAATAGAGGTTGTAGTAGAAATTTTAAGTAACAATTAAATTTTATCAGGTTTTTTTTAAAAAATTTTAATTCAAACTTTTATTTAAATTCAAATTAAAGAAAATAAAATAAAATTTAATTTTAATTAACTTCATTTAAAATTTGTGAAAATAGAATTTCACAAAAATTTGAGATAATATTCTTCAAAAAATCTGAAATTTAATTATCTCTAAAATTTTAAATTATTTTCAAAAAGTTCTTTGATAATTCAATTATTAAAAACAAAGAAAGTTCACTTGATTTACAAAGAAAAATTCAAATGTTGTCAATTATACTTTATCAAATTTAAATTATTCAAGTATTTTACAATTAAATATGTTTTAAAAAAATCAACTAATTGCAAAATATTTTGAATTAAAATTTTCCAGAAAACCTTCTGAAATTTAATTATTTCTAAAAATTGCTACAAGTCTTTCAATGTTTAATTATTTTCTAGAAATTTCTAAAAACAACGTTTTTAGTTAACAACTCAAAAGAAAAAAATATTTTTCGAAGCAAATTTTTATAAATTTTTAACCTTTTTAATTAAAAACCGTTTTCTAAAGATTCTAGAGCAATTATTTTCAGGAAAAAAGTTTTAAGAGAAAAAATTTATTTCTATTCGTTTAAAAAATAAAGAATTTGTTTTTAATTGTTGATCATAAAGGTTGTGAACTTCAACTCTACGTAACAAAGTAGAATTTTATAAAAAGAAAACTATTGGAAAAAAATTCGACAAAATAATATTATCCGAGGCCTGTAAATTGTTTAAATTGCTTTTAATTAAAAATTTGTTATAATTCTTTAATTTTTAAAGACAAAATTCTTACCTAACGCCAGAAATATCACTGAAGTGATGCGTAAGATTTTCCCTCATAGAATCGCGAATTGTTCTTAAAGTTCCTTCTTGGAGAACTGATAAACCTCTCGTCAATGCCGCATGCATCTCATCTTTGACAACAGAAACGAGAGTTTCACTCTTCTGTTCGTAGCGCTTTTGACACTGCTTCTCAACAACTGTATCCACATTTTGTAAATCTATCAGAAAGAAATTATATTCAATTATATTTTCGGTATAAATAATATATTTTTTGCAAATTATTATTTTTTTAATTTTATTTTTCAAAATATATTTTTTCTAAAACAAAAAAATGACAATTTACTCACATTCTCTAGTACCACGAACAAAAGTATCCTGAATTTGTCGAAACATTGTCTGACAAGCTTTCTCCATACCAGGCAATAAAGTATTGGCAAACGTTTCTTTAAAGAGAATTTCGAGTGTTGGTTTAGCGGCATTAGCGACAGCGAGAGTAATTGTTTCTTTCATATGAACGCCATTAATTAATTGATTTAAATTTGCTTTAAGAAGCTCGTCCATTTTCACAGTATCAAGTCGTAATTGATTTTTTAATGGTTCGACGGCATCGGCACAAACTTGAGGAAGGGAAGTTTCAATATTTTCTTTAATGGATTTTTCAATATTAGATAAAAGTTCGTGTTGTCTTGTTATGTGATTAAAAAGTGTTTGTTCAACTGTTGCTGTTTGTTGTTGTGTCGCTCTTGTCACTGCAATTTCAACACGATTGCCAAGTGGCGTTTCACTTCTCAACGCTGAAAGTTCTAATCTTAATTCCCTTATTTCCTGTCGTTGATCTTGTACAATTTCGAGTATCGAATCAAATTTAGTTGTGAGACTCAATATTTTATCTTCATTAAGCAATCGCCATTTTAAATCGTCCTCGCAATTTATCACCGATTTTGCATCATCCTGTGGAGAGAAAATTTATTTTTAAGTACTTTCTCATTATAATGAGAAGAGGCTTCTCGCACTCGTAAATTAATTTTAAAAAAATAGTAGCAAACAGGAGCTTTAAAAATGAAAAGAAGTAATGAAAAAGTATCTATCGAGAAATTCAATTTGACGACTAAAAACTATTTTTTGACGTTTTAATCAATTCAATTGACAAAAAGAGTAACTTATTTTTTAGAATGTTGGAAAAAAACGATCTCCAACTTATTTTATTCGAGGTGTTACAAAAATTTTATTATGTATTACACTAATTTCTAAAAAGAAAACTAACTTTTTTCCTTATCCTTGAACTTCAATTATATTAATATTAAGAATATGAATATGAATATGAATATTGAATTTTACAATTATATTTTTGTAAAATTCAATTATTTTTCAAATTTTCAGTTAGAATTATTCAAAAATACTATATTTCAATATAATTTTTAAAAGTAAAATAATTAAATTCATTAAAATAAAAATATTGTCAAATTTCCAATTGTTTAAATTTTTTAAAATTATTTTCGGATAGACCTTTTGATAATAATTTTTTTAAGAAAATAATATATTAATAATGTTTAAAAATAAACAACTTAATATTATTATATTTTTACAGCAATTACAATTTTTAAAGATTTCAATTTAAAAACATTTTAAACTTTGATTATTTTTAAACATTTTTACTGTAACTCTTCTAATATAGAATTAATTTCTAGATTTTTTTTTTACTAAAATTCTTTTTTAAATCAATTATTAATTATTTTTAGTAATTTTTAGGAAATTAGAATTTTTATATAATTTTTAATTTTTAATTTTTATATAATTTTTATATAATTTTAGAATTCAGTTATATAATTATAAAAATTTTAACTTATGTAAAAATTGCAACTGTAACTTTTCTTGTTTTCTTTTAAAAATATTTTTAGTAATAAAAAATCTTAAAATTAATTTTTTAAGAATATTTTAAAATAATTTTTGAAAGATAATTGAACATAATTGAAATATAGTAAAATTTTTTGGAAATAATTAAATTTTTGAAAAGAATTTTTCAAAAATACTCAAAATACGTAAAATAATAAAGTTTTCAAAGAATTCTAATGCAGAACAAATATGTAAATTCATGATTTCTGCATATTCTTTTCGTGATAATTAAATTTCTAAAAAATTATAATTACAAATTCAATTTTACATAAAATTAAATTTTTTGTAATGTAATTTCATAAAAATAATTACATTTTTTAAAATAAAAGAATTTTTGTACAATTTACAAGAACTACTTAATTTGTTCAAGAATTTTATTAACTAATTTTCAAAATTTTAATAATAATTATAAAAAATTTGATTTTTAAACTTACTTTAAGGAAACCATTTCTTTTAGAAAAAAATTAGATTTGAAAATTTTTTAATTCAATAATGTATATTGAAAAACTTAACTAAATTTAAAAAAGTTTGAACTAAATTTTTTCCGAAACCTATGTTTATTACAATTTTTAAATTAAGTTTTTCAAAATTGATGATATTTTCAATTAATTGACAATTTTTAAATTACTTACTAATTTCTTCTAGAAATTTTAACTAAATTTATTTCCTAAATAAATTATTAATAATTTTGAGAAATTTCTTTCAGAAATTCAATTATATTCAAAAATAAATAAATCTGACTTAATTAAAATACTTTTAGAATTTAATTTTGAGTAATTCAACTTTACTAAATTTCGATAATTCAAACATTTTTCAATATTCAAAAATTTATCTAATTTCAAAATAATTCAATTAAACGTTTTCAAATAACGGGTTTTTTTAAATACTAGCCCCTCCGACGGCCGCAAGCGGCCGTCTACGGTGCTAGTTTTTATATGTCCATTGTCCAAGTCCATTATTTCATTAATAATAATATTAATATTAATTATAATACAGACATTATAATATTCAATTTTTTTCAGTTAATAATTTGCTTATTTATATTTGAAATGTTGACGTTTTTTTTACAATGCAAAATAAGATTTATTATAAGTACTTTCTCTTAACAAAAATAAAATTTATATATTCGCGCTCTTTTTAAATAACATACGACTGCAGCGCCACCTGCACATGTCCAAACAATTTTGAAAACACCCTTCTCTTAATATTTTACATTCTCATTGCCCATTCTTTACTTCGATACTTTTCGATATATTCGACCTTTCCACTCCATGTCTTTTTTAAGAAAGGAAAATTTTCAATTAAAATTATTATCTAAAAATTAAAATTTTCAATTATTTCTTTTTAAACATAATTTAGTTTGAAATTAAAAATATTGTAATTTTTATTTCTAATAATTTCTTCTATTAACTCCTCCAATATTTAATTACTTCTTACAATTTTGAAATAAAATTCTTTTCGAAATCAATTATTTTTAATAATTTTCTGAAAGTTCTACGAGAATTGAAATTTTTAAAAAAGAAAAAGAAAGTTCACTAAAGTACAATTCTGAATTCAATTATTTTCAATTCTATTTTTTTAAATTTCGATTATATGAAAATTTTTCAATTAATTTTATATTAAAAAATGTAACTAATTTCGAAAAAAAATTCAATTAAAATTTCTAGAAAAATTGAATTATTCAGAATTTTGAAATTTAATTGTTTTTTTAAAAATATCTGCTAATAATCCTTTCAAAATTCAATTATTTGTTAGAATTTTTATTCAAAATTTTTCTGTAAATTAATTATTTCGAATAATTTTCAGAAAATTCTTCGTGAATTCAATTCAATTCTTTATGCATAGTCGCAGTAAATGTTTCTTCGTGGTTTCAAAAGTAGAATTCATGGACTTGGTAAAAAAAAACAAAATAACCGTTTTTTTAAAGAAGTCGAACAAAGTAGCATTTTTTGAAAGTAGTCGAAAAGAGGCCTGCAATTCTTATTAGAAGATTCTACGTACGAGACTTTAATTATTTGAATTAAAAAATAATTTACTATTTCTGAAAATTGCAATATTCCCAATGGTATTTTTTGAGTTTTTTAAGATAGGAAAGAAAATTCAAGATTAGTTTAAAATTTTCATTAATTTTATATTTTTCTACTACTTTGGATAAAGATGCTTCCTTCCTTGTGAAAAAATTAGTAAGTAGTAATACAAATTTAGTGAATAGTAAATTTAATTAATTTAGTTAAATAATCTTTAACGTCCGAGATTTTTCATAAAATAAGGCAAATAAAACGAATGCATAAAAATATATTTACTCCAACGTTTCGAAATTTTTTATTTTAATTTTGTATATATTTTTTTATAGAATCCCTAAAGAAGAAATCATTTAGATTTCGAAACGTTGGAGTAAATATATTTTTACTTATTGTTCGAATGTTTTCGTTTTATTTGCCTTATTTTTTAATTAATTTAGTAAATAGTTTTAGTAGATGGAGTGCAAAGCCTGTGAGAATAGAAAAAAAGTTTTTAATAAAAATACTTAAAGAAAAATACCTTGTTATTGAGTTGATCATTGATTTGATCCTTTTTGATATCATTAGGACAGATATTAACGTCCTTGAGTAGAGCAATTGAGATGTTGGGCCAATTGGGATCCTCATTTGTTGGAAGTTCATCAATGTCGTCTTTCGTTTCATTTTCGCCTTCCTCCGGTTCGGCGAGGGAGAGAATTTCCCTTACCTCTCGTGAGGGACTGCTTCCACCACTTGGCGGTGCTTGCTCTTCAATTTCACTGGTTGCCAATGGTGGTTCGGATGTATTCAATGCATGTATTGCCTGTGCAAGTGATGGACTCGCTGACAATACATTTCCCAATTCTGGACTATTGGTGTTTGAATCGAGAGCCGAGTCCTTCTTTGCCGGCGAGCTGAATGCATCGGGTGTCATGAGATTTAGAGCCGCTGCGTGATTTGTTGCCGCTTCAATTGCCGCCGACACTGATCGATCCTCCTCGTTATTCACCTCCAGTCCGTTGTGATTGACGGCGCCAATTTCCGGAATATCCTCAGCATAATCGAGAGAATCGTGAGTGAGTGTGTCCATTAGACATGTTCCAGTGACGTGGGTCGCTGTTCTGAATGCAATGTGACACTCTTGGAGGGATTTCGGTTGAACGAGATACATTCTTATGACCAGTTGATCTTCATTCTCGTCGTCGCCTGGACAGAGATCCTCCAATGATTCTCCGGTTGGTTTCACTTTCCTCTGACCGGCATCGACAATTGCAAAACTCAACATTGGCGATGGTAGGAGAAATTGTGATATTGTATTGATACCGGCTAGAGCTTCGCCCTTATCCTTCGTCACGTTCAATACGTACAAAACCTTGTTGTAAATGTCCGAGAGAAGAAGATAACCGGCACTGAGATCGAGACCGGCTTTTAAGCATGGTGCCGATGATGATGTGGGTCTTGGCGTGAATTTAATAGTCTGCAAACACGTCCACAATTCACAGGACCACAGTTTCAATTCCGAATTGTCATCGCAGCCGGTGATGGCGAACCTCCAAAATTGAGCACTGTCGGGGGGAAAAAGTCTTTTTTTTCGGTGTTTACAGTTTTCGTAACAAAAATTTAAATGCAGTCTACGGTAATAAATAAATGTACTTTCCTCCATGAGGAAGCAAAATATTGAAAATAAGAATAAAATAGCAAAATTTTTTAAGATACTTACTCGGGTTGATAATTTTTGTGATCGTCGAGAAAAAATAGAGATGATATCGGTCGACCATTGTGTGGACGCCACTGATGTAAACAACGTGGTTTTTGTTGAGCACCATGACCAAACATACAAACTTGGAAAAATTTCACTTCCCCATCGAAACTTGCGGTAGCCAATGCCGTTCCATCAGGACTGAAAGTCGCTTGAACAATCGTATCCGTGTGCTCGTTTATCTCCAAAACAACGCCACTATTTTTCACCTCCGGATCCGTAATCTAAGGAAAGTTAAATAAAAATCATCAGAGTTGCCACAAAAATTTAATCCTGCTTTTCCCTAAATTCCAAATAAAATTTTCACTTGTTCCCTGTTCATATATAAAGAGTATTCTAATTCACTCTAAAAATGATTAGATGCTCAAAAAATGTTCTATTACATTTACTTACAAATTTCTCTAACTATAAAATTAGAATAAAAACTTCAAATAATTTCACAAAAAAATTCAATTAAACTTTTTCAAAAACATTAATTCTACATAATTTTTAGTTAAAAGAATGAAAAATTCAGATTTTTAATGAGGCTGAAGTCCGCAATGATTTTAAAAACGAAAACAATTTTAGTTTAAAATTCCTGTTATATTTTACCATTTGTCTTTTAAATAACAACTATATTAAAAAATTCTTTCATGATTTTTCGTTTTTAAAAACGTTGCGGACTTCAGCCTCATGATTTTCAAAGATTTTCATTTGAAACCTTTTCAAAATTCAATTATTTACAAAAATTTATGCTATAATGCTTTTAATATTCAATTATTATTAATTGAAATTGATTTTTAAATCAATTTTTTTTAGAGAATTCCACGAGAATTGAACTATTTAAATATAAAAACAAATAATTTATTGCTATCGGTCAGAAAATATTCTGACCCTTCTTGAATTTTTATTTTTCTTAAAAAATGATAGATTTTAAAATCCATCCGTAACTTTGTAGAAAATATGTTTTTGTATCAATAAAAGAATTGTCAAATGAAAAAATTCATCTTTACAATTTTTAAATCATTTTTCTTATTAAAGAAACCATTGTTTTCAGGTTGAAAATGCTAAAAAATACCATTGTTATATAATTTTTGTATATGAAAATTCACTTATTTATTTTTCTAACTGATTTCAAATCATAATTTTATTATAAATTTTTTATATTTTCTATTTTAAAAAATTATGATTTAAAATTAGTTGTAAAAATGAAAAAGTGAATTTCCATATAAAAAATTGAATTCTAACAATAGCACTTTTTAGCATTTTCAACCTAAAAACAATGTTTTTTTTCAAAAAAATGCTTCAAAAATATTGTAAAAATGAATTTTTTCATTCGGTCATTTTCTACAAAATTAAGGATGGATTTTAAAGTCAATCAATTTTTAAGAAAAATAAATATCCAAAAAGGTCAGAATATTTTCTGTTCATTGATTTCCTCTCAAAAAATTACTATAAAAATAATTTTATAGAAGATTTAAATCATTTTTTGATACAGTTGAAAATGTAGTCAAAGTCTCACCTTAAAATTGAATTCTCATAAAGAACTTAATAAAGGAATTTTTTAATGATTTAATTCTTCCGATGAATTTTAATTAAATTTTTAAGAATAATTACATTTTTCGAGATATTCGACTAAAATTGTATTAAAAATAATTGAAATTGTGCGACGAGTTTTATTATTAATTAAAATAATTAAACTATAGCAAAGAATTTTATAAAAAAATTTGTAAATAATTGAATTCCTGAGAGGTTTTTATTATTTATGAAAGCAAATAAATGTTTGCGTAGAATTATTATTTTAAGAATATTGTTACTGTAATTTATTCAAAATTTTTTTCATCATTTCAATTCAATTATTATTTTCTAGAATATGTAACTAAAATTCTTCTCTAAATCAATTATTTTAAATATTTTTTGAAAAAGATCTTTGAAAATTTTTAAATCCATTTGTTTACAGTTCAATTTTACTAAATTTTGATTATATAGAAAATCTCCGATTAAATATACATTAGAAAAAAAATTCAATTAAATTTTTTCAAAAAACTTAATTCTACATAATTGTTAGTAAGAAGTATGAAAAATTCATATTTTCAAAGATTTTAATTTGAAACCTTTTCAAAATTCAACTATTTCTAAAAATTGGCGCTTTTAATGCTTTTAATATTCAATTATTATCTAAAATTTTAAATGAAATTCATTTTTAAATCAATTTTTATTAGAAAGTTCTATGAGATTTAAATTATTTAAATACAAAAATAAATAATTTATTGAATACTTGAATGCATTTTAAAATTGAAGTTTCATAAAGAATTTTGTCAACAAATTTTTAAATAGACCAAATTTAATAAAATTTGTAAGAATAATTACATTTTTCGAGAAATTCGATTAAAATTGTATTAAAAACAATTGAAATTCTGCGATGAGTTTTATTATTTGCGAAAATAATTGAATCCCTATAAAAAATGTTATTATTTATGAAAGTAATTAAAACCCTGTAAAAAATTTTATTATTTATGAAAAAAATTTAATTATTGCGAAGAAATTTATAAAAAAATTTGTAAATAATTGATTTCCTGTGAAATTTTTATTATTTATAAAAATAATTAAATGTTTGCGTAGAATTTTATTAAAATTTATTTAAAATAGTTCAATTCTTTTGTAAATTTTTATTAAAATAGTAGATATTTATAATCATTGAACTGAGGAAAACTTTTGAAAAAAATTGAAATTTTGCCAAGAATTTTACTTAACTTTTTGAAAATAATTGGATTTCAGAGAACAATTTTATTACTTTTGAAAATAAATGAAATTTTTACGAGAATATAAAAACAATTTTTGAACATAATTGAATTTTTGCGAAGAATTTTATTGCTTCTGAAAATAATCGAATTTTTGCAATCATTTTCAACTTCTCCAAAATTCAATTTTTTATTTTTTTTTTAACTAAAATTCTTCTATAAATCCATTATTTTTAATAATTCATTAAATATATATTAAAAAATGTAACTAATTTCTTTAAAATTTCTAATTAAATTAATTAAAATTTGAGATTTTCTAAAAGTTTAAATTGAAACCTTTTGAAGTTGATTTATGTATGTAACTACTAGACGCAACTCTTTTAAAATTCAATTAATTTTAAAACATTTAAGTAAAATTATTCATTAAATAATTTCTAAGTAATAATTTTGTGATAGTTCTTAAAGAATTAAATTATTTAAAAAGAAATTATTGTCAGAAATAGAAAAAAATGAAGGTTTTATATTGGAATTAGTGGTAATTTTTTAGTTTATGAGGCAAACAAAAAAGATAACAAAATTCAGAATTTTCTTATGAGTTCTATAAACTTAATTTGTTCCAGTACTTTTAATAAAAATTCCTAACTTTCCTCTGATTTCCCTGTGGCAACCCTCCAATTTGCTAAATTTTCGGAAGATATTTAAATGACTCATTCAAATATCTTTCAAAAATTTAGCAAAATTGCAATATAGGAAATACAAAAAAGAAAATTAAGAGCCAAAAATAAAAAATTTTATCAACCTGGACAGGCTTATTCCAAAGTCTTGAGGCAGCAGCCACGGACCACAATTCGGCCTTTGGTCCTCTCGTTAAAACCAATAATTTCGAAACCTCATCTCCGTCGGTCGCCTCCTCTTCAGGAATGTAAGGACACCAAATCACACGATGACTAATTGGCATACAATCCTCTGCGTCTACTTGTAATATCAAGGAATACGCCAACTCTCTAGGTAGAGCTTCAATCGTGTATACATAGAGACTTCCAAAGCAGTCGACACAAGCAAGAATTGCATTCGAAACATGTGCAAATGCCAAATCTTGAACAGGTCCTCGTAATCTCAAAAGTATTCGATGTTCGACTTCTTTATTTACAACTCGAACCACGCCACTTCCGTTGACAACTAGAATTTTTAAAATAAAGAATAAATAAAAAATTTACAAATTATAATATTTTTAGACAATAATTTTACTATTAAAATTTACCCTTAAGGCCATAAGCAAGATATTTTCCTGATGTGTGGATTGCTAAAAGATTTCCTATATATAAACGATGTTCCCAAGAAAAATCGACAATATTCTTGAGTTTTACTTTTGAACTTCCATGATTATGATTTCCAGGTGCAGGAATTACTGTCACGTCATTGCTATAAATTTCAGTTGAATACTGATCCTCCTGCTTATTGAAATCCCTAAAAAAAAAGAAATTTTTACTTATCTTGATTAAAAACTTTCAATAGAAAAAAAAATTTTCCAAACAAAATTAATAATTCCAACCAAATACTTTTTATCCTATTTCACACTCTAAACAATTTTTCTCTTAAATAATCTTTTAAATCCTTTAAATAAAATAAATAAAAAAAATTTGCTAAATCATAACCTAGAAATAATTTATTTCTATATAAATTAAACTAGAATTTAAATTCAAAAAACATGAAACAAATCACTCGAAATAGAATGCCGTTAATTATTCACATCTTTATTTCAGAAAAAAAAGAAGATGAAACAAATTATATTATTGAATATTTATAAGGGAAAAATTGCAAAAATTTATTACTTACACAGTCTGTGGATAATGAGGATATTGCCGAAGAGAATCGTCCGTTTTTAACATATTGCCAAGAATTTAGATGAATCTTCTAAAACTGTTGAATTTCAATTAAATTTATAATTTTTATACATACACACATTATTTGTAAGTGAATATAATGAAAGTGGGGAAAAAAGACATTTTCTAACCCCAACCGGTGGCACGCCTAACTGGAAAATTTCTATTTTCAACTAAGCAACACTTACCTTTTGTTGCATAAATAAACTATAAATTGCGACACGTTAATTGGAACTTTGTTATTTATACATTTTTGAAAATAGACTGAAAAAACAAATCAAAAAACCGTGAAGATTCACTTCACTTGTCACAAAAATGGATGGTGATCACGGTGAACCGGAAAGAGTGAAATTCCTCATTATAGTCATTATTGCGCAGGCGTTCAAATTTGAACAGTTTCCTTTCAATATTTTTAAATTCCTTATAGAGGTAAAATTACTTTTATTCATATTAAATTTATATTTATTACAATTAATCTTTGTTTTCCTCATTAATTAATAAGAAAATGATTCTCTTTTAATGTTTTATTTTAAACGAACATAACCTCTAAATCATATAATTTTACCAATTTTATGAACCTTTTGACAACTAACTTTTCTGTGTATATAAATAACACGAAATTTCTTAATTTTCCGAATTATTTCTATATGACTTTTAAGTATATACTGATTTTAAATTATAATATTTATAAATTGTGATAATTTAAAGAAAAATGAAGTTTGAATTAGAGTCTAAAACGGAAAGGCCCTATTCAGCCAATCAGAGAATGACTGACGAAATCCTCCAATCAGAGTGCGTAAACAACAATGGAGTCATTTCCGTAGTGAAAAGCTCCGACCGGCGCAGTGTTTTGGTGCAATCTCTCGAATTTTTGCAATAATCGGTAAGATTTCTATCCTTATTTTTATAAATTCGTTCACCAGGTTATTCTCCACATTCCAGGGAATCATTATTTATAAAAGTTTCTTAGTACACTGTTCAGAAAATATCTAATTGAGAACATTAAAAAGTTGAAAGTTGTTGTGGTTACGTTCAACGGCAAGCGAAAATTTTGTCTCTGTCACTATCTCAGAATTTAACTAAAAAACACTAAAATTTTTCTCATTTTTTCATAAAATCGGCCATAAAATTACTATCCACTTAATTCGCAATGGTAATTTTGCAAAATTTATGTAAACTTTTTCGTAAAACATATAAAATAGTGAAATTGAAAATTGGGGTTAAGATTGGCGCCAACCGTGACAATAACAACGTGAAAAATTTTTCTCACGTGACAATTTTACTTGAAAAACATAATATTTATGAAATTAATAATGAAATGTAAATTATAACATGAAAAATTTTCTTAAAAAGTGAGGTTGGGTACAGGAGATAGTGAATAAAGTGTATTATTTTGTAAATTTATTTATTTTTGCAGTGTTATTGTTGGAATTCCCGAAGTCTTGAGTTTTGGGGAAATAGAGAAACAAGTACCAACGTGACAATAGCTTTTGACAAAATTTCACACATAGAAAACTGCAATCAATTGTTGAATATTTCTCCTGTGGCGGTGAGTCTGTTTTTATTTTTTTTCTAAATTATTGAAATATTTATAATTATTTTATACTGTAGAAAAAATGTGCATTGGAATTTTAGTTCAATAGATTCTAATTACATGCTTATTTTTATTGAAAGTTTGTTTTTATTAACAACTGAATTACTCTTTTTATTATTTTCTCTTATTTTTATATAATTTTACTTATTTTAATTTAGAACAATCAAATATAAAGAAAATTTTTTTCTATCTAAATATTTTCTAAAATTGCTATAATGAATAAAAAATAATTTAAATTCACCACTGATTTTGTTACCATTTTTATTATTAAAATATACATAATAAACTATAATAATAATAACAACTATAAAAATAAAATGTAAATTAATTTTCTTCAATTCAATGATTTTCAATATCTACTATTTTAATAAAATTTTCCGAAAGAATTCAATTATTTGAAAACAATTTTAATAAAATTCATAAGAAACATTTAATTATTTTCATTAATAATAAAAATTTTACAGGAATTCAATTAATTTCATAAATAATAAAATTTTTAACAAGTACCTCTTCAATTATTTTCATAAATAATAAAACTCATCGCAAAATTTTCAATTTTTATTTAAATGCTAATCGAATTCCTCGAAAAATGTAATTATTCCTAAAAAGTTTATTTAAATTCGTCATAAATATTGAAATATTTAAAAATTTGTTGATAAAATTCTTTATGAGAATTTAATTTTGAAAAACATTCATTTACTTAATAAATTATTTATTTTTGTATTTAAATAAATTAATTCTCGTAGAATTTTCTAATAAAAATTGATTTAAAAATAAATTTCAATTAAAATTTTAGATTATAATTGAATATTAAAAGCTTTAAAGCGTGAATTTTTATAAAAATAATTGAATTTTGAAAAGGTTGCAAATTAAAATCTTTGAATATTTGAGTTTTTTGTACTTTTAACAGACAATTCTGTAGAATTAATTTTTTTGAAATTATTTCAAGTTTGTATTTTCTAATTATTTAATTCAAGAATTTCCGAATAATCGAAATTTCGTAAAATCGAATTGTAAACAAATGGATTTGAAAATCCTCAAGGAACTTTTGCAAAAATTATTCAAAATAATTGACAATTATTGAATTCTTTCAAAGAATTTTAATAAAGTTTTTGAAAATAATTACATTTTTTGAAGAATTTACTTGAAATTATATTAAAAATAATTGAAATCCTGTAAAGCATTTTATTAATTGAGAGAATAATTGAATTTTTGTAACTAATTTTTATTACATTATTTTTAAATAATTGAAATTTATGAGAATTTAATTTTCAGAAACATTCAATTATTTAATAAATTATTTATTTTTGTATTTAAATAATTAAATTCTCAAAGAATTTTTTGATAGAAATTGATTTAAAAACTAAAAATTATTTTCAAAACTAATAAAATTCTTCACAGAAATTCAATATTATGTTTAAAAATTTATGAAAATTCTCTTCAAAATTTCAATTAACTTTATAAATAATAAAATTATTCACCAAAATTCAATTATTTTCAAAAGTTTTAATAAATTTCTTGGAATTCAATTATTTTTATAAATAATAACACTCATCGTTGAATTTCAATTATTTTTAATACAATTTTATTTTAATCGAATTTCTGGAAAAATGTAATTATTTTTTAAAATTTTATTACAATTCGTCAAAAGAATTAAATTATTATTCAAAAATTTGTTGATAAAATTCTTGATGAGAATTCAATTTTAAGAAACATTCAATTATACAATAAATTATTTATTTCTGGATTTAAATAATTGAATTCGTGTAGAATTTTTTAATAAAAATTTATTTAAAAATGAATTTCGATCAACATTTTAGATAATAATAATTGAATATTAAAACCATTATATGACATAAATTTTTTAAAATAATTGAATTTTAAAAAGATTTCAAATTAAATTTTTTGTAAACTTGAATTTTTCATACTTTTAACTAATAATTCTGTAAAATTAATTTTTCTAAAAAAGTTTAATTGAATTTTTTTTTGAAATTATTCCAAGTTTTTATTTTCTAATAATATTTAATTGAAGAATTTCCGAATAGTCTCGAAATTTCGTAAAATGAAATTGTAAACAAATGTATTTGAAAATTCTCCAAGAACTTTTTCTAAAATTATTAGAAATATTTAATTTGAAGAGAATTTTAATTAAAAATTTTAGAAAATAATAATTGAATTGATAATAATTTTGAATAAGTTACAGTAACAATATTCTTAAAATATAAAATAATTATTTTATTACTCGGTCATTTTTAATTCTTATAATTGGTTGAATTTCAAAAGAGTTTAAATTTGAAATTGTTGAAAATCTTAATTCCTACGGAAAAAAAATAATGATTAAATATTTATTTGAAATCAAACTTTTAATATTTTCGAATAATTTGTCAAAAGTAAAAAAATTCGTAAATAAATATAATAGAACATTTTTTTGTGTATCGAATAATTTTTAGAGTGTATCAGAATATTTTTTATGGTCTGGGTAAAAGTCAAAATTTCGTCTAAAAAATCAGGGAAAAACAAAACTAAACTTTTATGTGAACCCTGTTATATTAATTTTCTATTTTTTTCCAGGAAAAAATGTTTACAAAAAAACAGATAATGGAAAGAATAGGATACAAAATCACCGACAATATACCAAAACAAAAATTCCACTACGTTTATTTTTCAATAAAAATATTTACGGAAAAGGTAATAAAGGACAGAGTAAAATGACAGACAACTTTAAAAAAAAATCCCGCTTGTTTTCGGATAAAAAAAAACCATCAACCACCGGTGAGTAATTTATTTATTCTTTCGCTTTATTTTTTCGAAAACGAACAATGGACTATATTTACTTTCGAAAATTGATATAGGTGTAAATTGACAAGGTCGAAATTAATACAAGTGTCCTAATTCAAATATCATTTATTGGAATTCAATGTACATGTTGCCATTTGATTCAAATTTCTAATTGCAAAGCAATTACATTAGTTCATGAAATCATTCACATTATTAATATATTTTTTTCTCGAAAATAATATTTCGAGAGTCTTATAATTCGTTCTATAGAGCAAATTTACATCATTTTTTTTCAATTATATATATATTTTTTTTCGCGCAATACTCGCTTTTCATTTTACAATATGGCTTTTTTTCATATATATATATATAATACACTTTTGTTTGCGTGTATATAATGTTTGATATCTTTGAAAAATATGGCAGTAGTGCTCAAACATACGTAGACCCAAAAAATTTGGCAGTAAATTTAGCTAATATCGGTTTTTATTATTATATAAACAGTGCTTTGAACTCCTAACATTTACATTGTGTGCTTAATTATTTTAATAAAATTACTATTGTTCTTTTATATTAATGAAAAATGGTACGAGTTGAAATTTAACTTTTTTTGCTTTAATAAAAAAAACACATATATATTATTGTTATTTTTTGTAAAGGCATTTTGTTTTAAATGATATGAATATTTAAATTTTTTAGTAATAAATATTTAATATTTAATCAATATTTAACATGTAATCAATATTTAAATATCAATATTTAATTCATATTTAATTAATATATTTATTTGAAAATTTCTTTTATAACTATGGATATAATTTTTGGTTTCTTTGTAATTATAATTTTTTAATAATTATATCATTTGAATTTTTATTTTCTGTAACTATTGAAAAAGAGAAGAAAATTTAGAATTTTAAATTACTTGCTAAGGATTTGAAATCTATTTTTCATTATTTTGAAATTTGAATCAATTATTTTTATTTCATTAATTGAAAATTGTTACGGTATATTGTGCCTTTGCATTTATATTTTATATTGTTTGCACATTCTATATTGTTTCAAAATAAGGGATATTAGAACTGGTATTAAAATTGTTTCATAATTAATTCGTTTGAAAAAAGTTTCTTTTTTGTCTAAAATTGTCCTTTATGTCTCATTTTTTGGGTCTGTTATTAACTTCAGGATTAAGCACACTGAAAAAATTGCTGATAAAAACAGTATGTAATAATAACAATAATCACGCCTTATGTACTAAATTGTATATAAGCAAAAGTGGCGAGTATTTTTTTATGCAGACAAATCCATTTAGATACTTTCCTATTCACGAGCTCTATTTTATATAATTAAATAAATATGTATATATTTATATATATAAATAAATGCATATATCTATATATACACACATTAAAGATTCTACCTATTATAGGTATAACTTTTTTTTTTGTTTTGTTTTCATAAGCGTAATATTTCGATCCTCTTAATTTTTTTTTTTTTGGCTACATTTATTCATATACTCTATATATAAATATACGCGCAAGAATTTATTTGGTTATACAAATTATATTATTAAAATTCGATAAAATTCAAATATGAATTTATTATTAACAATGATAGAGAATATTATCAATTTGGCATTCTCGCAAGTCTAGATGTAAATTATTAAAATATTTCGAAAAAAGGAGATTTCTTTTTAGGTATAAAAAACATTTAAATTATTTAGATTCAGGCTTGTGTTTGTGTGTATTTTCTCTAGAGTCGAAGATTTACAAAAAGAGGAAAATATTCTCTTATAAATTATTCAACATTCAAAACATATTTCGTCGCGTTCATTTTGCATTGGGAAAAAAATTAATTAAACTCCGCGTATTATAAAAAAAGTACTAAAAAGACAATTAGAACTAAATAGAAAAATTAAATTTCTATTTTAAATAAATATAAACATTTTTTTCTGTTCAATAAATATAAATATTTTTTTGTACAGAAAATATTTTTCTGAATAATATAAATATTTTTTAAATAATATAAATAATTTTACGAATATAAATTTTTTTTCTGTTGAATAATATTTAACAACTTTATATACATTTTGCAAAATAATAACTTTTTTTACATTTTTAATTTATTTTTTTAATTAGAAGTGATTTTTCTATATAAGCTGACTTTAATTGATTAAATTCATTTATTTGTTTGTTATTTTCTTTTTTGTAAAAAGCTATTTTTTATGTATTGTAGAAAGGAAATTTTTAGGTACTGCATAGTGATATTTATCAGTTTGATGAGCTGGTCCCTGTGGGATTTAAACGGTTTTTTTTAAATTATGTACGTTTATCGAATTATTTATATTTCTAAAACTTTGAAATATTTTTTTTTTTTTTTTTTTGATTATTTTATACACAGAACAATTGTTATTTCTGAATAATATTATTTATTAGCAGGTTATAAATGAATTGAAATCTTTTTTACAAGTCATTTTTATATTTATTAATATTATTATTTATAATAATAATTTTATTACTTATTTATAGTTTGATAACAATAAATATTTATTATTATTTAATAATAGATAATTTCTGATAAATAATATTATTCTCGAATATACAAATATAGATTTTACTTTGGAGAAAAGCATAATTTTAATTTACAATTTATTATATATTATTATATATATATTAAATATTATAAATACTGGTTTTCGTGAAAAATAAAAATTATACATATTTTTCGGAGCAAAAAAAGTAATTATGCGACCGCGAGAAAAAAAATGAAAAAAAAAATTATTACAATCTACGATCTTATCACTAAATGTAAATATTTCATTTTCTATATTTCACGGACGGAAAGTTCGTTACATTCTGTGGTCCATGATGAATGTTTATCTCTTTTTTTAGCAGTCGCGTTTTATTATGATTGAACAATCATTTTTTTTCTAAATTATTATTTTTTTTTATATAATTAGACGAGAAAAAATACATTCACCATATAAATTATGCGGATTAAAAGTGCTATATTCTTGTTTCAAAATCAAAAAAATTCTTTTTCTTTTTTTCGAGAAAAAAAAGTAAATTATGAAAAAGAAGATTTCTTATCGTAAAAAGATGATTGCGTTTGAATTGTGAAAATGTTAAAAAGTGGCAGTGTATTTAAAAAACTGATTTCTGATTTTACAATTCTAAAATCCACTTTTTATTCCCCCAGCATTTTTTTTATACAGCAATCTTTAATATAAAGACTAGAATATTGTTTTTTTTTTGTCAAGAAATGTCGAGACTAATTTTTATAGCAAAAGCAATTGTGTGACAATTAACATTTAATTTATTATTTTGAAAATTCTAAGAATGTTTCTTGTTTATTTTTGATTTGATTTTCAATTTAATAGCATATTTTAAACAATATTAAGCAAAAACACGGAAAAAAAATCTTCACCTGAAATAAACTGAAATTTAATTAGAATAGAGAAATTTTTATTTGTTTTATTCAATTATTAATATTAATATTTTCGCTGTTCCAGGTGAAGCTTTTTTTTCCTTGAAGATTATAAAATTAACTATTATTATAAATAGATACAGATACATTTAAATATAAAATTTAATTTAATTTAAATATATTTTTAAATAGAAAAAAATTGAAAGTTTCGCATTAATTATTTTTTGTACAAAAATAAAAAAACCGAAAGAAAAATAATTCAATAACATTTAAAAAGTATTAAAAAAACATTTTAAAAAAAATAAATGTTCGATGAACAATCGTAAAAATAGAAATATAAATGAAAGATCATGGCGAAATAAAAATTGACTAGAGATTTTTATCAGTGTCGAAATATTAACGACGGTGTTCCCATTAAAAAAACTTAATTAGATTAATAATACTCTTAACTTAACTATATTAATTACAAGAGGTCACAAATGGTTTCTTTTTTTTTACTGTTATTTCCATCTTGCTTCCGTCAAAGTCTTAGTATTTTTTTTTCGAAAGAAAATGTCATTCGAGATATCTTATTACGTAAATTTTTTTAAGAAAAAAAATTGATTTTTCTAAAGAAATTCTAAAATCTAAAATATTTTTTCTAAATTTTAACTACGTATATATTTTATTTTTGTCACACTTTTCTCTTTCTATTTATATCACGTACTTCCCTAAAGTCACAGCAAAATTTTGCCATAATCGAGTTTGTAATATTTTCAATTTTTAATATTTTTCGTATTATTATAAATATTTCATAATATGAAATATTAATAATAATTAATATTTAGACATTTACAATTCTATGAAAATATTTTATGGACGAAGGTTGGTAGACTCATTTTCAAAATAGTTTTTTTCGGTTCTAAATTTTCATTTGTGAGAAAATGAATAACAATTTATATATTGCTTTATAACGTATATAATATTATTTCTATATAAGTATCAATATTTCATATTTCATATTTCTTTGGTTTAATTCAACAGTATATAATTTTATTTCAATTTTATTGAACTATCGTATATGTTTTAAATATTTAAATCTAATTAACTAATAAATATATAATTTGTAAATACGAAATATTGAGAGATCAGAAATGAGAAAAAAAGTTTCTAAAAAGTTTTCATTTTTTTTTTCTTTTTTTTTGGTGAAAAAATCGTTTCTTCATTGAAAATGAGACTTCCAAGTAAATCACGCATCTAATTATGTATGTTTTTCTATAGCTTCTCTCGCGTAATATATAATTTCGAAAATATTGTACATAAAGACATTTTCTATTCGATTTAACGGTCGATTTATCATTATGTAGCACTAAAAGAATTTATACGGACGTACGAAAATGTTCGCATTCGCACATTCATAGCGAAAATTATATGTATATACATGTATATGTATGTGTTTGTGTGTGTGAATTATTAATATTATTTAGTACAATCATATTACGATAGGCGACGTGGCTATTTTTAGTGATGGCTGGACTAGACGGAAACTACAAGGAAAAAGCTCAGATTTCCCCGAGTAGTTGTGGGTGGACGCGATTCAGGCGTCTCGATTTACAAGTTCATCTCCTTAAAAAACGGAAGAAACCTTTTCTTTTGTCGGGTGGTGGTGCCATTAACATCGGAACTTGATTTTTATGCGTTACATGAATCTGAAAAAAAATTAATTTGCAATTATTTTATCATTTAAAAAATAGGTTTTTTTTTATAAAAAGAAGTTAATTTCCATTACATTCGAAACAGATTTTCAATCCAATCAGGGTGGGAAAAACAATAGTTATTGAAAAATGTAAACTTTTTTTTATTTCATTTGAATTATTTTTAATACAATTTTAAATGAATTCCTCGAGAAATGTAATTACTTAAAAAAATTTTCCTCAATTCAATGATTTTCAGTATTTACCATTTTCATAAAAGTTTCCAAAAGAATTCAATTATTTAAAAAAAAATTTCATAAAATTCTACACAAACTTTTAATTATTTTCAAAAAATAAGAAAAATTTCACAGGAATTTCATTAATTACAAATTTTTTAATAAATTTCTTCGCAATCATTCAATTATTTTCATAAATAATAAAATTTTTACGGATGAGATTCAATTATTTTCGTAAATAATAAAACTCATCGCAGAATTTCAATTATTTTTATAAATAATATAACTCGTCGCAGAATTTCAATTATTTTTAATACAATTTTAATCGAATGTCTCGAAAAATGTAATTATTCTTAAAAATTTTATTAAAATTCCTGGAAAGAATTCAATTATTTCAAAATTTATTAATGAAATTCTTTATGAGAATTCAATTTTAAAAAAAATATTTAATTATTCAATAAAATATTTAATTATTGTTTTGTAAATAATTGAATTCTCGTAGAATTTTCTCATAAACATTGATTTAAAAATGGATTTCAGTTAAAATTTTAGATTATAATTGAATATTAAAAGCATTAGAGCGTAATTTTTTAGAAATAATTGAATCTTAAAAAGATTTTATATTAATTTTTAATTTAATTAATTTTTAATTTTTCATATTTTTAACTAAACAATTATGTGGAATTAATTTTTTTTGAGAAACTTGAATTGTGGATTTTTTTTGAAATTATTTAAATTTTTTATTTTCTAATACCTATTTAATTGAAGAATTTACGAATAATTGAAATTTTGTAAAATTGAATTGTAAACAAATGAATTTGAAAATTCTTAAAGAACTTTTTCAAAAATTATTAAAAGTAATGGATTTATAGAAGATTTTTAGTTAAAAAAACACGAAAAAACAATTTAATTTTGTAAAAGTTACAGTTTATTGCAAAAATTCAATTATTTTCAAGAGTCAATTATTTTTAATACAATTTTAATCGATTTTCTCGAAAAATGTAATTATTCTTAAGAATTTTATGAAAATTCGTTGAAAGAATTCAATTATTTAAAAATTTGTTGATAACGATTCTTTATGGGAATTGAATTCTAAGAAACATTCAATAAATTATTTATTTATGTATTTAAATAATTGAATTCTAGTAGAATTTTTTAATAAAAATTGATTTAAAAATTAATTTCTGTTAAATTTTTAGATGATAATTGAATATTAAAAGCAATATAGCGTGAATTTTTAAAAGTAATTGAATTTTGAAATTAGTTTTTTTGAAAAAGTTTAATTGAAAATTTGTAATATTATTTTAAGTTTTTATTTTTTAATATTTTTATTTAATTGAAGAATTTACGAATAATTGAAATTTCGTAAAATTGAATTGTAAACAAATGAATTTGAAAATTCTTCAAGAACTTTTTCAAAAATTATTAAAAATAATGGATTCATATTTTATAGAAGATTTTAAGTTAAAAACCCGAAAAAAATTCCATTTTGTAAAAGTTACAAATTATTGCAAAAATTCAATAATTTTCAAGAGTAATAATATTGTTCGGAAAAATTAAATATTATTTAAAAGTAATTTTTTATGGGAATTGAATTTTAAGAAACATTCAATTATTCAATAAATTATTTATTCGCATTTTATTTGTATTTAAATAATTGAATTCTCGTAGGATTTTCTAATAAAAATTGATTTAAAAATGAATTTCAATTAAAATTTTAAAAAATAATTGTATATTAAAAGCAATAAAACGTGAATTTTTAAATTAGTTTTTTTGAAAAAGTTTAATTGAAAATTTGTAATATTATTTTAAGTTTTTATTTTTTAATATTTTTATTTAATTGAATAATTTGAAAATAATTGAAAATAATTGAAATTTCGTAAAATTTAATATTCTAAGCAAATGAATTTGAAAATTGTCAAAGAACTTTTTCGAAAATTATTAAAAATAATTGATTTAAAGAAGAATTTTAGTTAAAAATTCTTGTAAATAATAATTGAATTGTGAATGATTTTATCGCTCGATCATCTTCATGTTTTATATAGAATTATGAAAAATTTAATTTATAGTTTTAAGTAAAATATTCTCTTATTTGATTCTTATATTTTTGTCGGTATTTGGTCCGTAATTTTTCATTTTTTGTCCCTGAAGTTCGTATTTCTAAAAACTTTCACTGCTTCGGTCCTTGCATTCTTGATGAAAAAATTAATTACACAAGTAATTTTAATGGTTTCCTTGTGCCTGAAATATACACTGAAAAAAAATTATTTGATTCAAATAACCGATTAATTGACTATTATCAATTGAATATTTAATTGAATCAAATAATATTTATTTGAGTCAATTAAATGGTTGAGTTCATATTTGCTTCAAATACTGAAATTATTGGTTCAAATACCATTTAATTGACTCCAAAATAAATATTATTTCATTTAAGTAATTATTTAATTCATAATAGTCAATCGGTTATTTGAATCAAATAAAATTTTTTTCAGTGTATTTTTTTCAATCATTGACCATAAAACTTTAAAAAGAACTATTTAAAAATTTATAAACAAAAAAATATTATTGTTTCCTGGGTAGAAATTTTTTTTCTTCCAAACGTTAATAATTATTATAAACGTTGTGAACTTCACTCACGTCTATAATTAACGATTGAAGGAAAACAATATTTTTTACACAAAAAACAATAAAATTCTTTTGTTTAAAATAGTTGATTTTGTAATTTTTACACCAAAAAATTTACAATTTTATGTAAAAATTTGTGTGGGAAAATATTTTTCCCCTCTAAATCGTTGATTGCATAAATGTAAACTTCATTAAAGTTTTTTTTTTCTTCAAACTTCTTCTTCAGATCTTGTGAAGTTTTTCATTTACACGGCGTCACTAGGGATCATCTATATTTACTTTTCATCACTTATTTCACCCATTTTGATAATTTATCACCTTTCTCATGATTTTTCATGATTTGATTAATTTTTCGTAACAGTATATTTCAAGAACATTTAAATTTAGAATTTGAAAAAGATCAAAAATGCTTAGGAATGTTGAAAACATTGAGTAACTTTAATTAATCATGAAAAGAAATTTTTTTTAAACATTTTTGACTTTGAATTAAGTTAATATTTAATTTAAATCACAGAATTATAAAATTTCGCATTGTTTGATTTTTATAAATGAAAATTTCAAAATTAAAAACAAAATTAAATTAATTAATTACTTAAATTAATTTCAAGTTGATTTATGTATGTTTTTGGGAGTCTCGAACCCTGCGAATGCAGGGAGAGTAAATAAACAATAATACTTAAATTAATTTTAAATTAACTAGATTAACTAAATTAAATTAATTTAATTAAAAATTTTTATTTTTATTCCATTTCTAAATTTTGTTATCGATTTAAAATTTACTTAGTTCAAATTTCAATTAATTTGAGTTTCAATTAGGTACATTGAATTATTTCTTGATTAAAACTGTAATCTATCTAAATTTAAATTCATTCTAATTTTATAATTAATATTCACTTCAATTAATCAAGAAATGTTCATTTATTCTCAATAGAATTTATTTCAATTTCAATTTATTCATTCAAATTTTAATTAAATGAAATTTATAAACTTTTTGTAAATTTTGTGTCCTTTACATTTTGGTAATTATTTTCTTGTGTATGTGATAATTTTTAGAGTGAATCAAAATATTCTTTAAGTTTAGAGAAAAAGTGAACATATTCTGTTATGTGAAAATTAAAGAAAAAGAAAATAAAATTTTTGTGGCAATCCTGCTTTTATTGACTACAATTTAGTAAATGTATGCACTTACGGCGCAGGGACCTTGCATCCATGGTTCTCCATCGATTTGCATTGGGAATCGTTTGAATGTCGTAATTGTAACACTACTGCATTGTGCCAATCTTCTTCCGGAAGCGCGAAGTCCAGTTTTCACTTGACCCATGTGTAGACAATTTTCCAAACCAATCACTTCAATGAGATTATCACCTATATCTGCAAAATCAATTTGAATATTAAATTATCACGAAATGACGAAATACAAACATATAAAAATATAAATAATATTGGAAAATGTAAAAATTTAAAAATATAAAAATAAAAGGACAAAAATACTAAAATATAAATATGCAAATATATAAAAATACAAATATAGAAAACAGTAGAAAAATACAAAAAAAGAAAAATAATACATTATGCATACCTTGTATCGCTACAGTGAGATCGACTGAATTAAAACTACTTGTACTTAATTCCTTGTTGGGTCGTTTCTTTCTTTTTCCAAGTCGATGTTTTGTGTGATGTTCGCCCCATAAATTCGAACCCCCATGAGTAAACGGAATGTTTAACAATGCAACGCCTTGTAGAGATGGACCGTGTGCAAGGTCCAAAGGTACACCATCACACTTTAAATAAACAAAAAATTCATCTCATTTTTTATCAGTATTTTTTCTCGAAACATTATTTAGGAACAAAAAGTTTTGAACGTTCAAATGAACGAAATATTTTTTGTTAAAAATATTTTTATAGATTATTGATTACAATTCAAATTAAAAAAAACTCAAATTTTACATTTAGAAACATTATAATTAATTTGCTTAATAGTGACGCAAAATTATAGTAATAAAAATTTAATTTGAAGAAGAAATAAATAAATTTCGTTCATTTGAACGTTCAAAACTTTAACCTTCTTGATATTTAATATTTTGCTCTCTATGAATTCTATCTCCATCTTTCGCAACGTTTTTGAAAGTAAAAAATTTAAAAAAATCTCGTTCTCGTTTTTGAAAAACTTTGCGGCCCCAGGCTATTGTAATACTTTATATTATATAAAGAAGGAAAAATTCTCACAATAATTTCAAGATCCTCGTGAAGATTTTTACAACTTGCGGCAAATTGTTCCGTAGTCGCGTACTCAAAGTACCATAATTTATTTTTCATTCTGCTATTAAACTTTTCTGGATTCTTCTCTCGTTCGAGATGAAATTTGACACAAATTGCAGCGTCCACACCCACTGAGAAATAATTATTGATGATGTTATAGGGAATTGAATCTTGATTTGGCTTCTTTTCTTCCTTTTGATCGGTTACCTCAATTTGCCATCGGTCCATCATAACCGGCGTTGCTTTTTCAATTTTCTGCAAAAGCCACTTGATTTAATATCCCTCGTACTTTTAACACAATTCCTATATTGTGAAATTATATTTTAATACTTCTATTTAACAGGGATCACAGAGTTACCTTTTTTATATTTTCTCACCTATTTCACTTATTTCGTTAATTTTCTCCTATTTCGCCTATTTTGTAAATTTTTCAAACACTTGGGATAAAATTTTTTAATTTCTAATAAAGTTTAAATTTTTAATTGTTGAAACCTCTTGGTAAAGTTCGGAACACTTGTTAATAAACGATTTAATACAGGGTTGTCAGAGGTCAGGGAAGTCAGGGATTTTTATTAAAAGTACTAAAAAATTAAATTTTTAGAATTCCTATAAAAATTCCGAATTTTTGTGATTTTTTTGTTTGTCTCATAAATTATGAAATTACCACGAATTTTAATATAAAACCATCAAACTTTTCTATTTCTGACAATAATTTCTTTTTAAATAACTAAATTCTTCAAGAACTATCATAAAATTATTACTTACAAATTATTGAATGAATAATTTCACTTAAATATTTCAAAAATTAATTAATTATTAAAAATAATAGATTTATAGAAGAATTTTATAATGAAGAAATGAAGAAATGAAACACTAAAAAGATTGAATTTTGAAGAAATTACAAATGATTGCCAAAATTCAATTATTATGTTCAAAATTTTTTTAAGAATTTTCGTCAAAATTTCAATTATCTTTATAAATAATAAAATTCTTTTCTGAAATTCAATTATTTCCAAAAATTTGAATAAAATTCTTGGAGAAATTTAAATTATTTTCAAAAATTGTCCTCAATTCAATGATTTTTAATATCTACTAGGATTTTAATAAAATTATGCAAAAGATTTCAATTATTTAAAAAAATGTAGATAAAATTCTACGCAAACATTTAATTATTTTCATAAATAATAACATTCTTCACAAAAAGTCAATTATTTGCATAAATAAAAAAAAATTCACACGAATTCAATTATTAACAAATTTTTAAATAAATTTCTTCGCAATAATTCAAATATTTTCTTAAATAATACAATTTTTTTATATGGATTCAATTATTTTCATAAATAATAAAACTCATGGCAGAATTTCAATTCTTTTTAATACAATGTTAATCGAATTCCTCGAAAAAATGTAATTATTCTTAAAAATTTTATTAAAATTCGTCGAAAGAATTTAATTTTAAGAAGCAATGAATTATTCAATAAATTATTTATTTTTGTATTTAAATAATTAAATTCTCGTAGAATTTTCTAATAAAAGTTTCTTTAAAAATGAATTTTAGTTAAAATTTTAGGTTTTATAATAATATTCTTATAAGTTGTTGAATTTCAAAAAGGTTTGAATTTAAAATTGTTGAAAATCTTAATTCCTATGGAAAATAATAATGGTTAAATATTTATTTAAAATTGAAGTTATTGATATTTTCGAATAATATTACAAAATTAAAGAAATTTGTAAATAAATGTAATAGAATATTTTGTTGAGTATCTAATTATTTTTAGAGTGAATCAGAATATTCTTTATGGTCAGGGAAAAAGTCATAATTTTTTCTTGAAATGAGGGAAAAGTCAGGGAAAAACAAAACTAAATTTTGGTGGCAACCTTGTAATAGAAAAAATATTTTTCTATTTATTACTTATTTTATTTGTTTATTAATTTATTTTATTTTTTTTCTATTTATTAGTTTTGAACGTTCAAAAGAAAAAAAAAATTTTCCATTTCAATATTTTCAAAAATCACATTAATAAAATGAAAATGAAAATAAATTAAACGATTATTTGGTTAAAAATATTACTTTTAGTTTTCCAGAAAAAATTATTTTTCATAAAATTCAGATTTGAACGAAGTTGAAAAGAAATTGTCGTTCATTTGAATGTTATTCTAAATTTTAGGGTCATTTTTGTTTTATTTAAATTTTTGGTTAAAAACTTTTTGTAAAAATAATTCTACACCAACGATTTAAAAATTGAAAATTTCTAAACAAAAAATAATTCTACAGCAACGATTTTCTAATAAATAAAAATTTGTAAACAAGAAATATTATTTTTTTCGGTAAAGAGAATTTTGTTCGTTCAATCGTTAGATCAAAAACGTTGTGAATTTCGCACCCACTTTGAACCTTTCATCGATTAAAATCTTAATTGACTCTGAATTTAATTCGTCAAAATTTTCAATTTTTGGAATTCCAATCCAATTTATTTTATTTTTAATTAAGCTCAAATTCAGTTGATCTAGATTTCAATTTATACAAATTTTATAACAATTCCAAATTCTTTAATCTTAATCAATCTCAAATTAAAGAATTTCAAATTTTAATTTATATATTTAATTTTTTTATTCATTTAGTAACAATTTAATTATTTTAATTATTTAATTTTTTAATTATTTTAACAATTTAATTAACTTTAGTAACAATTTAATAAAATAAACTTATTTTTTTTCTTAAACATAATTTTCATGAATTGTATTTTTTATTCATACAAATCATTCAGAAAGAAGGTTTTAAAAATAGATTTATCAGTTATTGAAAACCTGCTATGTTCCTAAACTTCTGAACGTATAAATGAACGAAATATTTTTTCGATGTAAATATTTGATATTTTCAAAAATTATTGATCAAAATAAAAATATAAACCCTAAATTGAAAATTTTCAAAATTAAAAAATTATATTTTGTGTCTAATTTGAAATAAAGTAAATAAATTTCATCAATTTAAATTTTCAGAACTTTATGGACATACCTAATTTGTTCTGTATTTCAAAGAATCTAAATTGTATTTATTTTCAATTTTATGAACAAAAAGTTTTGAACGTTCAAATGAACGAAATATTTTTTGTTAAAAATATTTTCATAGATTATTGATTACAATTCAAATTAAAAAAAACTCAAATTTTACATTTAGAAACATTATAATTAATTTGCTTAATAGTGACGCAAAATTATAGTAATAAAAATTTAATTTGAAGAAGAAATAAATAAATTTCGTTCATTTGAACGTTCAAAACATTAACCTCCTTCAATTTTTTATCGATAAAAAAAATTGTCACTCCTATCAATGAATTTCAAACTTTTTTATCTCACAGAAAATTTTGGGGTATTTTTTCAATATCAAAATGGATTAAAACAATCCATCGAATGATTAATATTTCAAAATCGTTACGAATGATTTGTTTTTGATTTAGAGACATTTTTTTGTCATGAAAAAAATTAATCCAAAAATTTATTATGCTTTTTAATCTTTTTTAGTGTAAATTTAACCTGCATCGCTTTTTAATACATCATACCTATAGTTCACTGCGTTTCGGTGATAAAAAAATTAAATTGAATCAAAATCTCAATAAATACAAATTTTGTTTTGCATATAACTTGATTTTATTTAAAAATGCCACGTCAAAATTTCAATTATCTTTAAAAATAATAAAATTCTTCTCCAAAATTAAATTATTTTCAAAAACTTTCCTCAATTCAATCATTTTCAATATCTAATATTTTATAATACAATTTTCTAAAAGATTTCAATCATTTAAAATAAAAAGTGTTGATAAAATTTAAAGCAAACATTAAATTATTTTCATAAATAATAAAATTTTTTTACCGAGATTCAATTATGTTCATGAATAAAAAAATGATTATAGAATTTCAATTATTTTTAATACAATTTAAATCGAATTTCTCGAAAATGTAATTATTCTTGAAAATTTTATTAAAATTCGTCGAAGAAATTCAATTATTTAAAAATTTGTTGATAAACTTCTTTATGATGATTCAATTTTGAAAAGCATTCATTTATTCAAGAAACTATTTATTTTAGTATTTAAATAATTGAATTCTCATAGAATTTTTTAATAAAAATTTATTCAAAAATAAATTTCAGTTAAAATTTTACATAATAATTGAATATTAGAAGCATTATAGCATAAATTTTCAAAAATAATTGAATTTTGAAAATTTTTGAGAATAATTACATTTTTCGAAGAATTTACTTAAAATTGTATTAAAAATAATTGAAATCCTGTAAAGAATTTTATTATTTAGAAGAATAATTGAATTCTTGTAAAGAATTTTTATTACATTTTTTTTAAATAATTGAAGTCCTGTGAAGAATTTTATTATTTATGAAAATATGTCAATTCTTGCAACCAATTTTTTATTAAATTTTTTTTAAATAATTGAAATCCTGTAAAGAATTATACTATTTATTAAAATACTTAATTGAATTCTTACAACGCAATTTATTACATTTTTTTTAAATAATTGAATTCATTTAAGGAATTTTATTAAAATAGTTGATTATGAAAATATTGTAATTGAATTTTTGGAAACAATTTTTGAAAATAATTACATTTTTCGAGGAATTTATTTAAAATTTATTGTATTGAAAATAATGATTGAAGTCCTGTGAAAAATTTTATTATTTATAAAAATAATTGAATTCTTAGAACGAATTTTATTACATTTTTTTTAAATAATTGTATTCATGTAAAAAATTTTATGACTTGTAAAAATAATTGAATTCTTGCGAAGGATTTTATTAAAATTTTTGTAAATAAATTTTTTTTTTTTTGAAAAATTTCATGGAAATTTAAATTTCAATCTCGGAGTGATTGATATCTTCATGTTTTATAATAATTTATTGGAATAAAAAAAAGTTTTTCGCAGTGTTGTCACCTATTTTTAGAAAACAATTTACCTTTTTAAAAAAAGCAGCTGCTGTGATCCCTGAATTTTAATTTACAGATAAAAAATGAATAAATTTCAAAATTGACCGGTTTTCTAAAATCAAAATGACAAAAAATTTTCTAATTAATGATCGAAAGTTGAAGAATAGCTCTTTTGATGTTTATAATAATTCCTAACTAAACGTTAATCAGAAACTTAATCTTTGAAGTTCATGGACCCGTGTTTTGTTCTTTGAGAACTAATTACTCACTCTAATTACATAAGTTGAGAATAATAAAGCAGAGAGAGAGAGAGAGAGAGTTATTATTATATATAATTACTTGTCCGTACGTTAGTGTATATAATTCAAAATTGATTAAAATTTATCGACAATTTAATTATAACAAAAGAAATTTATTTTTAGAAAATATTCTATCTCCTATAAATTTGTTAAATAATTAAAATTAATAATATAAATTTTCTTCATACCTTTAGAATTTTGTGAATAGATTCTCCTTCATAGCCACCACCCCATCGAAGACATCTGGCTAAATCATTTCCGGTTCCTAGAGGAATCACAGCCACGGCTGGTTGATTTTCAAATTGTACCCGATCTAAACAGAAAAATGAGATTATTTTCAAAAAAGTCTTTGCTAGAATTCAAAAGAAAAAGAAAAAGAAAAAGAATTATTGAAAAATTCCGTTGAAATTACCCATTGTTTCAAGAACCCATCCAACAGTTCCATCACCACCACAACAAATGACTTTGAATTGTTCAACATCCTTAAATAATTGTAAACCCTGCATTGGTCCACCGATTGCTAAATTATGTACTTGTCTTGGATTTAGAATGTACTGAAATTTTCTCAACATTCTCTCTCCCTGCCTTCCGCCTGATTTTGGATTTATGAACACCAATAGGGGTATCGAGCCTAGTGGTTGTGTAATTTGAAAAGACATTGCTGGTTGTTGATTAGATGTGTTGTTACACGTGAGAAAGCCGCCCTTTTAACAAGAGAGAAAATCATGAAATATTCATTAGTTGGCGAACAGTATTTTGTAGGAGACTCTAATTAGATACATTTTCTGTGTGTACAAAATGTGCTTTGAATAAATTTTCTATTATTCCTGCTACTGCTACTGCTGCTTCTTCTTCTTCTTCTTCTCTTTCCCATTCTCCTTTTCTCTCTTTAGAGTTTATCGAAAGTGCATTCACGGCTCATTAATTTAATGAAATTTCGATTCAGTAGGAAGATTTCTATATATAATTAATAATAACTATATTATATTTTCTAGACAAATGAGCACGAATATATATTTCCAATAGAATACTTCTGAATAATTGGATCACAATTCAGTGAACAGGGGAAATCAGAGATTTTTTTGAATTATTTCACTCATTCATTTCCTTTCGGCAAAAAAAAAGAAAAAGAAAAATTGTGAATGAACGTTTTTCTTAATTTTAATGTTTGACAATATTTTTTATACACATAATATTGTATATTATTAAATATTATTATTAAATATTATTAATATTTAGAAATATTCAGAATTTATAAAAAAAAGTCGATTTTAAGTTCACCAAATTTTTTAAAAATTAGACTTTTTATGAGATTATTCAGATAATAATGTCAACTGCTGTACATTTTTACAAAAATACTAATTATTGTTTCTATTTCTTTTCTTACCTACAAACATTTACTCATTAAACAAAAAAAAACATTTAAAATTGTATTAATAATAATAATTGAATTGAGTTTTATTATATATGAAAATAATTGAATTTTTACAAGCAACTTTACTATAAATTTGTAAAAATAATTGAATTTTTGAGAAGAAGTTTCTTAAATTTTTTAAAAATAATTATTGAATTCTGTAAAGAATTTTAATACGTTTGAAAATATAAGATAAATATTTTATTGAATAATTAAATATGTTTTTGAAAATTGAATTCACATAAATAATTTTATCAACAAATTTTTAAATAATTGTATTTTTTTGGAGTATTTTCGTAATATTTTTAAGAATAATTACATTTTTCGAGGAATTCGATTAAAATTGTATTAAATATATAATTTGGATAATTTTAGAGAAATTACAAATAATTACAGAAATTCAATTATTTTCAAAAGTAATAAAATTCTTCGCAAAAATTCAATTATGTTCAAAAATTTTTAAAACTTCTCGTAAAAATTTCAATTATTTTTAGAAATAATTAAATTCTTCTCCGAAATTCAATTATTTTCAAAAATTTAATAAAATTCTACTCAAATCTTTAATTATTTTCACAAAATAATAAAAATTTCACAGAAATTCAATTATTTACAAATTTTATATAAATTTCTTAGCTATAACTCAATTATTTTCATAAATAATAAAATTCTTTTTAGAACTTCAATTATTTTCATAAATAAAATAAAATTTATGGCAGAATTTTGATTATTTTTAATACAATTTCTTTCGAATTCTTCAAAAAATGTAATTAATCATAAAAATTTTATTAACATTCATTAAAAGAATTCAATTATTTAAAAATTTATTGATAAAATTCTTTATGACAATTTATTTTTAAGAAGTAATCAATTATTCAATAAATTATTTATTTTTGTATTTAAATAATTCAATTCTCGTAGAATCTCGTTTTTAAAAATTTCAATAAAATTCTTGTCAAAGTTTTAATTATCTTTAGAAGAAATACATAATTAAATTCTTCTCCGATATTCAATTATTTTTAAAAATTTTAATAAAATTCTTGGAAAAATTTCAATTATTTCCAAAAATTTTCTTAAATTCAATGATATTTAATATCTACTATTTTAATAAAATTTTCCAAAACAATTCAATTATTTAAAAAACAATTTAATAAAATTCTACACAAACCTTTAATTATTTTCAAATAATAATAAAAATTTCACAGGAATTTCATTATTTACAAATTTTTTTACAAATTTTTTCGCAATCATTCAATTCTTTTCATAAATAATAATTTTTTTATTCTTAAATATTTTATGAAAATTCGTCAAAAGAATTGAATTATTTAAAAATTTATTAATAAAATTCTTTATGAGAATTCAATTTTAAGAAACATGCAATTATTCAATAAATTATTTTTTTGTATTTAAATAATTGAATTCTTGTAGAATTTTCTTTTTAAAACTGATTTAAAAAAATTTTTTTTTGAGAAAGTTCAATTGCGGATTTTGTTTTATATTATTTGAAGTTTTTATTTTCTAATATATATATTTAATTGAAGAATTTTCGAATAATTTAAATTTCGTAAAATTGAATATTGTAAACAGATGGATTTGAAAATTGTCAAAGAACTTTTTCGAAAATTATTAAAAATAATCGGTTTTAAGAAGAATTTTAGTTAAAAATTCTTGAAAATAATAATTGAATTGAAAAATTTAATTTATAGTTTCATGTAAAATGTTCTCTTATTTGACTCGAACTGGTCATATTTTTGTCAGCAATTGGTCCGTAAATTCCGTATTTTTAAATACTTTCACTTGTTCGAGCCCTGTGAGAAGAATTTTATTGTTTATAAAAATAATTAAATTCTTGCGAAGAATTTTATGAAAAGCATTTTAAATAATTGATTTTTTTCGAAAAATTTTATTATTTATGAAAATAATTGAATGTCTGCAAAGAATTTTAACAATTTTTTTTTTAAATAATTGAATTTTTTTATTAAAATAGTAGATAGTCAAAATAATTGAATTTCGAAAAATTTTTGAAAAGAATTGAATCGTTTGGAAATACAGTTGACAGTTTTCTATAGATATTAAAATTAGACAAGCTAGCAGCAATCTTGTGTTGCAAGCTTAGCAAGATTTCACGATAAGCTTGCCATAAGTTTAAGTGCTATCTGGGTATTTTATACCTCACTAAATTTTTGTTAGATTATACATTTTCCTAAAAGCACAATTTGTCAACGCATTTCTTCTTACCTCATAAAACATAACTTTTTTGAATTGAAGTAATGTTTTCTTACCGAACTACTTGAAGTTGAATCTTGACCGTGTTTGCTACCCCTTTTACTGTCCCTTGAAAGTGACCTTTGTCTGTCCAAAACAACCGGACAAATAGCCGTGGGCGGTAGAATATGGACTGCATGTTCTCCTAGGTTGCAATCAGCTCGTACCTGCGATGCGCATCTATTGTGGAGCTAGAACACAATTACTTCACAATGAAGATAATGGGGTATTGTTGCACCATATGGAAAGCTAGTTTACTCTCCGTTAATTCAGCTTTACTTCCCCTTAGAATTCACTCTCTAATCTAATATTCTTTTACATTTCATCATTGGGATATCGATATCGAATTTAAATTCACTTTAGCTATCTATTACTAAATATTAAAACATCATAGAATATTATTTTTTATTTTTATACTATTTTAATTATAATACTATAATACTAATTATCTTGTAATAATTATAATACTAATCTATTGCTGAATTTGGAAAAAATGCAAAACTTCTTTTATTAACAATTTTTTCCCTTAATGTTATGGAATAATGCGACTATAAATTATTATTATTAGTGTTGTATAGAAATAAATTTACCGTGATTTGACACCAACGACAATGAAGACCTGTTATTCCGTTATAACTTTTTATTGTCTTTTTACATTTTGAGCATTTACCATGGCAGTTCCCCTCGACCCAATGGTGTGCCATAACTTGTGAAGTTTTTTTGCTTTTTACATAGGTTGCTATACAAGAAGCTGGTGCTCTTTGTACACATCTCTCATGTACTGTGTACTTGCAAACTAAAAGATTAATGATTTTTAAATACAAAAATTGCCACATATTTTTAAAGCTGAAAATTATTATTATGTTTATTTGCGAGTAAAATGAATGATAAATATTTTTATACAAGAGAAAGGAGAGTGCAATTTTGTAAATGAATTGCGTGAACTTTGCCGAGAAGGGATTAGTGATGTTGATCTTTTGATTTATTGAATCTTAATGTATGTGCTTGATATGACCTAGGAAAAAAAAAGAGAGAGAGAGTGAGAGAGATATGTCTGAAACTTACAAACACAGCAGAGGCCTTTTTTGCCAAGACCCACCAACATGTTGAGGCATAGATTGCAATAAGCTGGTTTACTAAAGTGTTTTAGTCTCCAGAGATGATTACCATCTTCTTTGACATGAGAATCTAGACCTAGGAGTACTAAGAGAGGAATTGTCGTCAGTCCGCCTCTCTTCCATTCTTCCAATGAAACCGTACCATCTGCATCGTAATCTATTTCTATCATCATATCCTCCAGGATCTGAAAGCATTTTCATTTCAGATTCAACTTGCTCAATTTCCATAACTTAGACTAACAGATTTATAACAATAAATGACAAATGTCCGTTTTGATTCAGGGCGTTTCTAATGAATACTCAAAAAAGGATTTACATTATGCATTGTATGTGTATTTGTATTTGTTATTGTAATAGGACTTCTTTTACTGCAAATTTCTTAAATAGCGTTTACCTTCTTAATTAAGTTGGAATTTTTGTTAGTTTCCTTCGCTGCACTTTTTATTACTAATTTGGTAATTTTATTCGTGTAGGGAAAAAGTTTATTGTGGTTCAGTAAATTAGGTGCAGCATTTAACTGTACTGTTGAATTAATCCATTTTATTTGTTAGGATAAAACAGTTTTGTTGGTTCAAATTAGGGGTTTATTATTCGAACACCAAAATGGATTAAAATAATCTGTAACGATTTAGTCCGTCAAAGATTAAAATAATCCATTGAAGGATTATTTTTTTCACAGTTTTTCTAAGCATGTTAAATTGAGACAAACAATGTATCAAAACGATGCTTCGCAACTATTTTGATACGTTTTTTTGTCTCATTTTTATATCCTTAGAAAAACTGTGTTAAAATATGGTTACAAATGATGTGGTTTTTAGAGGCACATTTTTTTCATATAAAAGAATTAATCCAAAAGTAAATTATTTTAATCTTTGTTGGTGTGAATTTAAGCTGCAACACTTTTTAATACTTTATAGTTTACTGTGAATTTTTTCTGTAATGATCCGAACTAATTCAGTCACGACCTAGTTCGGATAAATAATCGAAAGTTCGGATAATAGAAATTGCAACTATTTTCGTTTACATTTATGGATAAATGATTGTTTTTTATTAAATGGCATTTATGTCTTGGTAATTTACATTAGAAATAAGTTGATAGTCAATAAAATTTTTGTATTTTTATGAGATCTTTGTAGCGATTCATATAAAAATTGAACGTTTAAGATTTAAGATGGCGAAAAAGTTCGGATAATAGATGTTAAGATAAAATGATTTACAGTTTAGATAAAACAGAGAGTTCGGATAATCAAGGTTCCACTGTATTATAAATAAATTATACTTTATTATATTAATATAGAAAAAAAGATTCTTACCGGCTTCAATTCAGAGACATCCCATCCTAAATATTCAGCTACATTCATCATTTGATTGACGATACAGTCCGTTTCCTGAGTACAAAGATAGAAAATTGGTTTTTTATTTATCAATATTCGTAAATTACATATAACATTTTTTAAATATTGAAATAACAAACTAATTGTACTATTACGATTATTATTTATAATAGTAATTATTAGAATTAAATTATTATGGTTATTATTTATAATAGTAATAATTATTACAATTATCATCTATAATAATAAATATTACAGTTATTTTTATTTCTTAAAAGTAGATACGTTACTATTATTATATGACACATTTGTGCAAAAGAAAATTTAAATTCTTTTTTTTTTTTTGCACTTACAAATAGTCTAGTTACACATTTTTTTTTCATTAAAGTTCTTCTTTTTCTGCGTTTCTTTGATAAAAAATCTCCAAGAAAATACATAAAACTGTGTTTTTCTTCACTTTTGCATGTCTCATTAAACACAATTTAAACAAAAAAGACTTTCCTTCGTTTACTTTACAATTAATACTGAAGTGAGTAAAGTTTTCGAATGAAATAAGAAAGGTAAACGACGTCGGTAATGAATCTCAAAGACTGAAAGTTTAAAATATTTAATGCTCCCTCTTTCATTCATATTAATGCGATTTTTTTTCTTTATTTATGAATTAAATCTATATTAGTAAAATAGTGAATTATTAAAGACAATTTTGAATCGACTTTGATTTAGTATTTATTGTTAATAGGTAAATTATTATTATTTTTATTACTATTACATTAGAAACAAATTTATTTGATTCAAATTATCAATTACTTATCTATAATCAAAGAAATATTTACTTCAATCAAATAATTTTATTTAAATCAAATAAATTATATTTGAGCTAATAATTTCAGTACTTGAAGCAATTAAACCATTTAATTGACTCAAATAAATTTGTTTATTGATAAATTTATTAAATAAACGCAAATAAATTTTATTTGAATCAAATAATTGTTATTTAAATCAAATAAATTATATTTATAAATGTAATTATAAATTATATTTCAACCAATAATTTCAGTTTTTGAATTTAAAGCAAATATGAATTGAACCATTTAATTGTCTTATATAACAATTATTTGATTCAATTGAATATTTAATTGACTATAGACAAGTATTGAAACAAATTTTTTTTCAGTGTATTATTATCATTATAATCGAAATTAGCAATTACCTAATAAATTTAAAATAGAAGACTAATTATAATTACATTAAAGTGTCAATTAAAATTTATCATTGAAGTAATACAATATAAAAATAATAAACACAATTAATCAGTTTGATTATAAGTAGTTCGAGTCAATAACAAATACTGTCTGACAGAAACTTTCTTTCACTACTTTTCAATTCAAGTGCTTCGTTCCATTTAATTTTATCTTCGCGACTAAATAGATTTCTCATTATTTTCTTACTCTTCTCCTTTTAAATTAGCATTTTCCAATGACTGATTTCATATCATCTTCTCTTTTTTTATAAACTACTTTTATTCGAAGAAAAATTTCTATATTTTATTATTGTTACATTATGTAACGTTAAAAATAAGAGACACGTTAATTGGAATAAAATGAACATTATCATAATAAGAAATATTACAACATAATTAATTTGCAAGAGCTTTAGATAATGTAATTTGAAAAAAATGTAATTAATTTATAATAAAATGATAATGAAACAAAAATAATATAATAATAATAACAATAATTTCGAAATGTTGAAAATAATAATAGTAACTATAAGGTGAAAAGCATGACTTTTTAGAGTAAAATTATCAATTTTAAAAATAATAGAATTTAAAAATTTGTAATTCACATTTTTGTTCAATACACTAAAAGAATCCAATTTTGGAAAAATTACAAATATACCCAATGGGAAATGCCAGTGTAGTGCCGATGTTCACCACTGGCTTAGTACTCAGACGATTGTTCGGCGTAGTCTAGCCGAGCCTCGACAATTAGTGCTGGCGCAGTACAGAATTTTTGTTCCGCCAAAGCTTGGACAAGCCACGGCAGCAAGTGCTGGCTGAGTATAGAAAAATTGTTCACAACGCTCTTTGCCAACATTGCTTTTTTGACATAAACTTGAAAAAAATTATAAAAAAAGTTTATCAATGTTTATAAATATAAATTTATTGAAAAAAATTAATATTTTACTTTTCAGTTGTTCATTTTTTATTTTTCTTAAATTTAATAATAACAATTTAACACAATTGTCTAATTTTGTAAATAATAAATTATTTAAACAAATTAAAATTATAAACAAAATTTAAACTTTAATCTCAATAATAATTTGGTTCCTATTAAAATACTATTATACTTCTTACTATGAATAAAAAATTATTAGAAAATTACCATGGAATTTAAGAATTACGTAAAATGTTAAATGCAATAAGTAAAGTAATTTAATTTAATTATAAAAAATTTAGTTTAATTTATTTTATTTCAATTTATTATTTCTAACGTATCCCTATCTTTTTCTCATCTTTGACTCAATAATTGTATGTCTGAATGATTCTGAAACATTAATACTTTACTCTACACATGTGTCATTAGCATAGTGGTTAGAGCGTTAGTCTGTTAGTCCGTAGGTCGTAGGTTCGATTCCCCTCGTCAGCAATTTTGTTTATTTTCATAGGTTTGCGATATTTCTAGATTCCAATCGTTAGGTACTAAAATATGAAAATCTAATGCACACTTACTGTAATTGTTTATTGTTTAATTTTTAAATGTTATAAACAATTTTTTTTTACTTCATTTACTATATCCATTGTTAGTCTCCATCTTTAATACAATTTCTTTGAGAAGAGAAATATTTTATGAATAATAACTGTTTATTAATATTATTTACCATTTTGTTGTTAAATTATTTATAATTATGAATTTACGACTAATTAATAATAATACTACATTTATTGCGGCAATATTCTCAGCCAGCACTGGTCCAGTGCTGCGCCAGCGCTGTCTGGCAGCACTGACAGACAGTACTTCGGCAGCGCCAGACGGCGTTATCATCCCAGCGCCATGCCAGTGCTGGCTCTCAGCCTTGCCGCCAGTGCTGCCAGTGCTGGCGCAGTACTACGCCAGTTGTAAATTTCCCATTGGGTAATTGCAGAAATTCAATTATTTTCAAGAGTGATAAAATTCTTCTCATAAAATTCAATTATCTTTCAAATTTAAAAAAAATTCTCGTCAAAATTTCAATTATCTTTATAAATAACAAAATTCTTCCCCAAAGTTCAATTATTTTCAAATCAATTTCAAATTTCCAAAAATAGTACGTAAACAATTAATTATTTTCATAAATAATAAAAATTTCTCAGGAATTCAATTATTTACAAATTTTTTATAAATTCCTTCGCAATAATTCAATTATTTTTATAAATAATAATTTTTTTTTAAGGAATTCAATTATTTTCATGAAAAATAATTAAAAATTGTAGAAAATAATAATTCCCAATGGGAAATGCCAGTGTAGTGCCGATGTTCACCACTGGCTTAGTACTCAGACGATTGTTCGGCGTAGTCTAGCCGAGCCTCGACAATCAGTGCTGGCGCAGTACAGAATTTTTGTTTCGCCAAAGCTTGGACAAGCCACGGCGGCAAGTGCTGGCTGAGTATAGAAAAATTGTTCACAACGCTCTTTGCCAACGTTGCTTTTTTGACATAAACTTGAAAAAAATTATAAAAAAAGTTTATGAATGTTTATAAATATAAATTTATTGAAAAAAATTAATATTTTACTTTTCAGTTGTTCATTTTTTATTCTTATTAAATTTAATAATAACAATTTAACACAATAGTCTAATTTTGTAAATAATAAATTATTTAAACAAATTAAAATTATAAACAAAATTTAAACTTTAATCTCAATAATAATTTGGTTCCTATTAAAATACTATTATACTTCTTACTATGAATAAAAATTATTAAAAAATTACCACGTAATTTAAGAATTACGTAAAATGTTAAATGCAATAAGTAAAGTAATTTCATTATTAAAAATTTAGTTTAATTTATTTTATTTCAATTTATTATTTCTAACGTATCCCTATTTTTTTCTCATCTTTGACTCAATAATTGTATGTCTGAATGATACTAAGATATTAATACTTTACTGTACACACGTGTCGTTAGCATAGTGGTTAGAGCGTTAGTCTGTTAGTCCGTAGGTCGTCGGTTCGATTCCCCTCGTCAGCAATTTTGTTTATTTTCATAGGTTTGCGATATTTCTAGATTCCAATCGTTAGGTACTAAAATATGAAAATCTAATGCACACTTACTGTAATTGTTTATTATTTAATTTTTAGATGTTATAAACAATTTTTTTCTACTTTATTTACTATATCCATTGTTAGTCTCCATCTTTAATACAATTTCTTTGAGAAGAGAAATATTTTATGAATAATAAATATTTATTAATATTATTTACCATTTAGTTGTTAAATTATTTATAATTATTAATTTACGACTAATTAATAACAATACAGCATTTATTGCGGCAATATTCTCAGCCAGCACTGATCCAGTGCTGCGCCAGCGCTGCCTGGCAGCACTGACAGACAGTACTTCGGCAGCGCCAGACGGTGTTATCATCCCAGTGCCATGCCAGTGCTGGCTCTCAGCCTTGCCGCCAGTGCTGCCAGTGCTGGCGCAGTACTACGCCAGTTGTAAATTTCCCATTGGGTTGATTTGAAATGATGAAAATAATTTTGAAAATGTTACTGTAATAATATTCTTATAATATAAAACAATGATTTTATCACTCGGTCATCTTTAATTATTATAAGTTATTGAATTTAAAAATATTTGAATTTGGAATTTTTGAAATTCTTAATTCCTATGGAAAAATAATATTGCTTAAATATTTATTTTTAAAAAAAGTTAGAAATTATAAATGATTGTAGAAATTCAATTATTTTTAAAAGTAATAAAATTCTTCACAAAAATTCAATTATGTTCAAAAATTAAAAAAAAATTCTCGTCAAAATTTCAATTATCATTAGAAATTATTTTCAAAAATTTTTCTCAATTCAATGATTGTTAATAGGTATCTACTATTCTAATAAAATTTTTCAAAAGAATTCAATTATTTAAAAAAAATTTATTAAAATTCTACACAAACTTTTAATTATTTTCAAAAAATAATAAAAATTTCACTGAAATTTCATTATTTAGAGAAATTTTTATAAATTTTTTCGCAATCATTCAATTATCTTCATAAATAATAAAATCTTTACAGGGATTCAATTATTTTAGTAAATAATAAAATTCTTATTAGGAATTCAATTATTTTGATAAACAATAAAACTCATTGAAGAATTTCAATTATTTTTAATACAATTTTAATCGAATTTCTCGAAAAAATGTAATTATTCTTAAAAATTTTATTAAAATTCGTCAAAAGAATTCAATTATTTAAAAATTTATTCATACAATTCTTTATGAGAATTCAATTTTAAGAAACATACAATTATTCAATATGTAAATTGTTTATTTTTGTATTTAAATAATGTAATTCTAGTAGAATTTTCTCATAAAAATTGATTTAAATATCGATTTCAGTTAAAATTTTAGATTATAATTAAAAATTAAAAGCATTAGAGCATAAATTTTTAGAAATAATTGAATTTTGAAAAGGTTTCAGATTAAAATCTTTGAAAATATGAATTTTTCATACTTTTAACTAACAATTCTGTAGAATTAATTTTTCTTGAGAAAGTTTAATTGCAGATTTTGTTTTATATTATTTGAAGTTTTCATTTTCTAATATATATTTAATTGAAGAATTTACGAATAATTCAAATTTTGTAAAATTGAATATTGTAAACAGATGGATTTGAAAATTGTCAAAGAACTTTTTCGAAAATTATTAAAAATTGGTCCGTAAAGTCCGCATTTTTAAATATTTTCACTTATTCGAGCCCTGCTTTATTTTCTAAATACGAAGATTATTATAGTTAATTATTATAATTTATAATAATAAATAAAACAAAAAAAAATATTTTCATTATAATAAAAATAACTGCGTTAATAATAATAATAATATTAAATATTAATAATAACCAGAAAATGAATAAAAAATGAACTTACATTTGTATCAAGAACACCGTTGCCGTCTGTATCGTAAAGTCGAAACATGACTGAAAAAAAGATTAATTTGCGCTTCATTACCAAGCAACAAGTAGAAATTACAAACTTGTTCACATACACACATATATGCATATACAATGATTCATTGTCACGCAAAAACTTTATAATTCTTGTCTCGCGTCAAATATATAAACACGTTCTGACATCCCCATTCACAAAACTTCATTCACTGTTTATAGTTCAGTATGAGAACATAATACATGTATACAGTTTGACCTCATTAGTGAATAAAATTTATGTATGGCTTTCCCTTATGCATACAAATAATAATAATAATAATAATAATAATAATAATAATAATAATAATAATAATAATAATAATAATAATAATAATAATAATATTAATAATAATATTAATAAAACAAGTCACATAAAATTTACATATAAAATATATATTTGTTTATTTACGATACATCTATAAACTGATGTACGCATATAAATAAAATATGCCATAAAATATATTTTATTGATATTTTATTTTTATGTGTATTAATTTACATACATATAGTATTATTGTTTTTATTATAAATATTATTTGTATAAATATTATTTTTATTATTATTATTATTTAAAATTAATCATTAAATTACAATTTAATTATTTATATATTATCCCTATACAAATTTATATAAACATATTTACATAAATTCAAGACAAAATCAAAAAGACATTCAAGCATCGGACAAAATTTTCTTTCTCCAAAAACATAAAAATTGAATAATTTGACTAATTTTATTTATTAGTTCTAAATTTTCTACTCAAGTTTAAGTGAAAAATTACTGGGAATTAGTAGAAATTTTTACTAACTTTAATTAGTGGATATATTCAGATTTAGAATGGGAAATTGGAATTTCTTTCTGTTACATTTTATTAGAAAATAATTATTGTATTTAGAGATATGAGAAAGTATTATTATGATTATTTTTGCTTTATTTTATTTATTTATTTTTTTGAAAATATATTAAGTTGGAGTAATTTTCGAAACTTACATTCTAATTTGTCTTCTGGCGTTCCAGCTTCCAGTAGAGATAGGTAGCAGACGATATCCTTCAGACTAACTTTGATCGAATGTACATCAATCGTACTTTGCTTCCTCACGAGATGCCTGATCTCTAAAATGTTAAAATAGTTTTTGTCAAATTGAGTATAAAATTGTAAAGTTAATTTACAAAGATTATTTTTAATTTTTCGACTTTTCTGCTAACATTATTTACTCTCTAAAGTTGAGATAGTAAAAATGTTTACTAATTTGATTTAACGACTGACTTTTTGCTATTGAATTAGTAAATTTTACTAAAAATCGTAATTTTACTAAAAATAGAAATTTTTACTAATTTATCAGTAAATTTTACCAAAAAATAGTAATTTCTACTAATTTATCAGTAAATTTTACCAAAAAATAGTAATTTCTACTAATTTATTAGTAAAATTTACTAATTCAAAAGCAATAATGACAATTGTGGTTAGTAAAATATATGTTGCTACTAAAACATTAATTTTGAGTTTATATTTTAATTATAATTGATCTATTTAATTATTTGATTATAGTCAATATTTTGTTTGTTCGTCAAACTACTTTGAAAAAACAATTTATTTTTATTAATATAACATTTTTTTCAAATAAATGTTTAATTATCAATTGTTATTTAACTTAATTGTTATTTAAGTTAATTGTTATTAAGTTAATTGTTATTAAGTTAATTGTTATTAAGTTAATTGGCATTTAATTTATTTGTTATTAAGTTAATTGGTACTTAACCTAGTTGTTCTTTCAGTTAATTGTTATTTATGTTAATTGTTATTGAGTTAATTGTTATTTAATTTAATTTTTGTTGAATTGAATTGTTATCTAATTTAATTTAACAGTTATTAATAGAGATTAAATTGGATTTATTAAATTAATGACGAACGTTAACCTTTGAATGGAAATTCCATTTGTTTGATTATGAAGTCAGGTGAAAATAATTTATACAAAGTTTGGAAAATTAATTAGCCAAATTGAATTAATGATTATGATGCGGAGTTTAAAAACACTTGTTGCTTGTGTGAGCATTGAGAGAGAAACTGAGTTCGCGATCGACGATTTTCCAGGGGATAAACGCATCAACCGTGTAATCCGCTTAGATTTACTGACGTAAATTGGATGACACAAGTTGATCTATTTTAGGGCATATATAAGATACACACTCATCTCGTGAAACAAGGTGTTCCTGGCCAGACGGACGCGCACGCTGCCAAATTGTATATATATATATATAAACATGTCAATAGACATCAACTTCCTTATGTTCGAAAAAGAACCATCAATGCAATTTCACATTTTATCACCTCTATACATCGGTTTTAAAAATATCACTTTTCTTTTCGAAATTTTTCTATTTATATTCTGTCTTCAGTTTTTTTTTTTTTTTTTTTTTGAAATTTCCATTATCTACATTCTTTGTGTCTCTTGAAATTTTTCATTTTTTTCTTTTCTTGTTTCTTGGAATTTATATTTTCTTGTTTTTTTTTGTTTTTTAAAATTTTTGTTTTCTTCTTTCTTGGCTTTTTGAAATTTTCATTATCCTCATTCCTTGAGTCTTTTGAAATTTTTCATTTTCTTCTTTCCTCGTTTATTGAAAATTCTATTTTCTTCTTTAACTGTTTTTTGAAATTTTTGTTTTCTTTCTTTCTTGGCTTTTTGAAAATCTGAATTAACTTCTTTCTTTATTTCATAGAAGTCCTATTTTCTTCTCTTCTTTTTTATCAAATTTTTACTTCCTTCTTTCTTGGCTTTTTGAAATTTTAATTATCTTCTTTCATCGTTTCTTAGAATTCCTATTTTCTTCTTTTCTTGTTTTTGGAAAATATTATTTTCTTCTTTCTCGAACTTTTGAAATTTGTAATTTTCTTTTTTCTTTATTGCACTTGGAATTCCTATTCTTTTCTTCTTTTTTCTAATTTCTGCTTTTTTCTTCATTGGATTTTTTAAACTTTAATTATCTTCTTACATTGTTTCTTGGAATATCTATATTTTCTTCTTTTACTGTTTATTGAAAATTCTAAAAATTTATAAAAAAAAGAAAATCGAATGTTCAACAAACACGAAAGCAAGAAAATAGGAATTACGAGAATCATGAAAAGAAGATAATTAAAAATTTCAAAAATCTGATAAAGAAGAAAATAAAAATGTTAAAAAACAAGAAAAGAAGAAAATAAGAATTCTATGAAATAAAGAAAGAAGAGAATTAAAACTTCAAAAAGCCAAGAAAGAAGGAAATAAAAATTTGATAAAAAAGAAAAGAAGAAAATAGGACTTCTATGAAATAAAGAAAGAAGTTAATTCAGATTTTCAAACAGCCAAGGAAGAAAGAAAACCAATTTTAAGAAAACAATTAAAGAAGAAAATAGAATTTTTAATAAAAAAGAAAAGAAGAAAATAGAAGTTCCTAAAAACTAGGAAATAAAGAATTAAAAATTAAAAAAGCAAAAAAGGAAGAAAGCAAAAATTAGAAAAAAAGAAATTCTTGACTTGAAATTCCTATTTTCTTTTTTTTTCTAATTTTTGCTTTCTTCCTTCTTACTTTTTAAAATTTTTATTTTTTTCTTTACTAATTTTTTGGAATTTCTATTTTCTTCTCTTCTTTTTTATAAAAAATTCTATTTTCTTTTTTTCTTGTTTTTTGAAATTTTTATTTTCTTCTTTCTTGGACTTTTGAAATTTTTAATTATCTTCTTTCTTTATTACTTGAAATTCCAATTTTTTTCTTTTCTTTTTTCTAATTTTTGCTTTCTTCCTTTTTGTCCTTTTGATATTTTTAATTTTTTCTTTCCTCATTTTTTGAAACTTCTATTTTCTTTTTTTCTTTTTCATTAAAAAATCTATTTTCTTGCTCTCTTGTTTTTTTTAAATTGTTATTTTCTTCCTTCTTGGCTTTTTTAAATTTTAATTATCTTCTTTTCTTGTTTCTTGGAATTCTTATTTTCTTGCTTTCTTGTTTGTTGGAAATTCTAAAAATTTGGAAAAAGAAGAAAATCGAATGTTCAACAAACAAGAAAGTAAGAAAAAAAGAATTACAAGAAACAAGAAAAAAGGATAATTAAAAATTTCAAAAATCCGAGAAAGAAGAAAATAAAAATTTCAAAAAACAAGAAAAGAAGAAAATAGAATTTTTAATGAAAAAAATAGAAGAAAATAGAAATTCCAAAAAATGAGGAAAGAAAAAATAAAAATTTCAAAATGTTTAAAAGGAATAAAGCAAAAATTAGAAAAAAAGAAATACTTGACTTGAAATTCCTATTTTATTCTTTTCTTTTTCTCTAATTTTTGCTTTCTTCCTTTTTACTTTGTGAAATTTTTATTTTCTTCTTTCCTTGTTTTTTTGAATTTCTATTTTCTTCTGTTCTTTTTTATTAAAAATTCTATTTTCTTGTTTTCTTGTTTTTTGAAATTTCTATTTTCTTCTTTCTTGGCTTTTTTAAATTTTAATAATCTTCTTTCTTTGTTTCTTGGAATTTCCATTTTCGTTTTTCCTCACATTTTGAAATTCTTATTTAAAAAAAATTCTTATTTTCATTGTTTTTAAAATTTTGTATTTTCTTCTTTACTCGTTTTTCAAAATTTGTTTTTTTTCTCTCATTGTTTTTTTAAATCTCTTGTTTTATTGTTTTCTAAATTTGCTATTGTCTTCCCTCTTTTTTGAAATTTTTATTTCCTTCGTTCCTTATTTTTTGAATGAGTAATTTCTAATTAAATTTATTTTGTAAACAAGTGCCTTCAATTTTTAATTCTTACTAAAACCAATGATAGGGCACAGTAAATAAATTCTTTTATGAATTATTAATTCCATTTTTTGAATAAAATATTATGAAACCTTTTTTTATAGAGGAAATGAAAACACTCTTTAGATGAGTATTTCTCGCATTTAAAGGTCAAAGGCTATACACATAAAAGTATCCTCCTATATTTTGCCCCTATACATAATTTTGGAACGTTTACTAAACAAACCGGGAATAACAGCTTCTGACGTTGTGAGCTTTTCCATTTGTATAAACGCTTCAGGTTATAAACTGAATTCGGTTGTTTATAATGCTGCATATTTTTTTTCCTTTTTTTTATTTAAAATTTTCTGATTTCTCACTATTTTGACACTATATCAATATCAGAGGAGTTTATTTTCATATTTATATTCAATATTAAATCAGTTTTTATTCAATTGCTTACATTTAAATGTTTAGCACACATTTGGGCCAGAAGGGGGGAGGAATATTTAATTTTAAATGCAGATAAATATAATGGTCTTGGAAAAAAATCTATTAGAACAATAATTAAAAAATAAAATAAATATTAAATGAAGATAGAAGGAAATTTCTTAAAAATTAAAATTAAATTAATTTGTGATTATATTTTTCTAACATTCATTTTTTATTTTTAATTTTTCTTAAATTGACTTCTTTTATTTTGCTTCTTTCCCGGGAGGCTTCCATTAAAAATGAAACATTTTGGATAAATTTGGTAGCACCTATACCTATACATATAAGTTGGAAACTTACTTATGCATTTCTTATCTCTGTTGTACTTGAGAAAAGTTTATCGTTTGGGAAAAATAGTTTCTTTGAGATTGTGAGAATAACGAGATAGAAAAGTAGGAAAAAATACCTAAAGAGAATCTTTCACTTTTATTTAAAATAACTTAATTCAAACTTCAATTATTTTTAATAGAATGTTAGGGAATTTCAATTATTTCAAATAGTTTCAATTACTCGCTTATAAAAATTAAATTATTTTTTAAGAAAAAAAGAAAGAATATTTAAAAAATTTTATATTTTTCCGAATTTTAAATAAAATTTTTCAAAAATTTTTTTTTATATAAATTTTTTTAATACCTATATAGGTATTTAATTAATTATAAAAAATAATGAATTTATAGAAGAATTTTAGTTAAAAACACTAAAAAAATTGAATTTTGGAGAAGTTACAAATGATTGCAGAAATTCAATTACTTTCAAAAATAAAAAAAAAAAATTCTCGTCAAAATTTCAATTATTTCTATAAGTAATTAAATTCTTCTCCAAAGTTCAATTATTTTCAAAAATTTTAATAAATTTCATGGCAAAATTTCAATTATTTTCA